TAGCTTATATCTTAGGTAGACCTGGCAGTGACCCTCCGGGTGGTCCATGACCTTGGACCCTCCGAGGGTCCAGCGACCCGCCAAGACCTAAATTTTGACATAAATATATATAAATCATGGTTTATAAGCATATTATTTCCTAATTAGGATAGGTTATGCATGCATAATTTCCTTGGCGGGTCCAGAATCCGGACTTTGGACCCTCCTTAGCGTCTTGGCGGGTCCAAATGGAGGGTCACTGCCAGGTCTAGATAAGACTATACGTAGTAACAGCTCAGTTGAGAGACAGATCATTGACGTTAGAGGACCAGCACAGGCAAGTATAACAAGAGAAAAGCTTCTAACATAACTGTGACCAGTTAGGCAGTGCGTAACACCTAGCTTACTGTGGGAGGTAAGGCCTTAGTAAGACATGCTACCAGATAAGATTCTGTAAGGATCGCATGGTTTCTATTGGATAATCCTAGATACTAGCTAAATGTAGTATTAATTATATAATCCTGCTAAGCAGGGCTTGGTCTAATATTAACCCTCCACTTATTGTACGTTTTAGTGAGACTTGGCCACTTGGCCAAGTCTCACTTGCCTGAGGCCCTGACATGCCTAAGGCACCGAGAGTATGCAAACCCTGCAAACCTCTCGGGAGCACACTAAGCTCACCGATTTATCATGTGACTAGTCTGAGCGGCTCAGTGAGTCTGAGCCCGGACTGAAATCTACTCAGTGAGCCTGACTCTGAGCGCCCTCATAAAAGCAGCGGCAGCTAAGATAGGAAAGCCCCACCCAGCAGAGGAAATCAAGTACGTATAGCTACCTAGGTATTGAGCTGCGATCATCTTATTTTAGGTCAAAAGCATGAGTCGATTAACGGATTATGGAGCTAGCCTTAAGAGAAAGTCATAATACTTCTCACTAAAGTGTTCCGCATAAGGCTTCCATAGGCCGCTGAGTCTGCGACATCTGCAACACCTAGGTATTCAGGTTGGTATGTAAGAATTGGTGTACTCCATAGGTAGAAGTAGCTACTGCCTATATAAAGCTCTAGCCATAGTAGCCATCTCAGGTCATCAACACTATACTATGTATTTCATGCTATCTCTCTATTTGTTTTCCACATTCCCTTTTAGGTGCAGCATTCATTCCCTTTCTAACTTCGTGAGACTTGGTCTAACATTATATAATAGGTCAAGTATCAGTAGTTCGCTGTCTTTCATTGTCTATACATTGGATCTTTCGCCCCATGTAATTCCAGATAGCGAGTCTCATGTACTATTCTAATAGTACTAGGAATATCTGCCTAGCGATTAAACAAGGGGAACAGAATATTATTATCTAAACTAGCTTCCTAGCTCATTTATATCCGTAGATATAGAAAAGTCTCTTGCACAAAGTGTGCTTTTTTTTACCACCTTCACATACATATAAAAGACATGCAAAAATACATTTAAAAAGACCAGCTAAAAGGACATCACAAGTCTGCAACCGCGGCCGACTATTCTTGTGTTATAGAAGGATTTGCTACTACTGAGGGAAGAGAAGAACGCAGATATACCCGTGCCCTAAACCCTAAATTCTAATTATATCTACGAACTATGCTCGACAATGGGGAACGAGGTAGATTCCGGGTAGTAGAGCACTATTTTAAAATAAAACCTATATATACATATGTAGCGAACATATAGTTATTTTAGTACGTTCATGAACGAGTGCACGGGTTAATTTAAGAATGAGTCACGAAAGTTGGAAGACCCCCGCGCGCTGGAGAGGTAGTAGGCAGCCGTCCAATCAGATTCTGTGCCGATCCCGCCCAAAAATTCCAGTCCTTATCCCACCATCCCACCATCCCACTTTTTGTTCTCTGTAACCACACATCATGGCGGATTCCAACCCTGTTCAAGAGGCTACGGCCTCCATTGCCAACCTTCTTCTCGACGATGTCACCGGCGAGAAAGTCTCCAAGACTGAATTGAAGAGACGCCAGAAGCAGCGTGAGAAGGATGCCAAGAAGAAGGAGAAGGAGGCCGCTGCTCCCCCCAAGCCCAAGGCTGAAAAGAAATCATCCGCCGAGGATGACGAGGCCAACTTGACTCCCAACGTTAGTGCTGTTGCTTGTAGATCAATTCCCTATTTCCGCAAAGCTAATTAATATGTAATTCCAGCAATACTTTGAGATTCGCAGCAAGAAAATCAACAAGCTGCGCGAAACCAAGCAGCCGGATCCCTACCCGCACAAATTCCACGTCGACACTGACCTCCGCAACTTCCTCAAGGACTATGAGGGTCTCCAGAAGGGCGAGCAGAAGCCCGATGTCACCGTTCGCATTGCTGGTCGTATCTACACTAAGCGTACCTCTGGCAACAAGCTGAACTTCTACGATATCCGCGCAGAGGGTGTTAAGGTCCAGGTAATGTGCCAAGCACAATTCTCCACCGGAAAGCCTTTCGAGGAGCAGCACGAGCTCCTTCGTAGGGGTGATATTGTGGGAATCGTGGGTTTCCCTGGCCGAACTAACCCCAAGAACCGTGACGACGGTGAACTTTCTATCTTCGCCACTGAGGTTATTCTTTTGACCCCTTGCCTGCATGCCATTCCTTCCGAGCACTACGGCTTCCAGGATAAGGAGCAGCGTTTCCGTCAGCGCTACCTGGACCTCATCATGAACGACAAGTCGCGTGAGATCTTCCGAACAAGGGCAAAGATTGTCACCTACATCCGCCAATATTTCGATAGCCGTGACTTCACTGAGGTTGAGACTCCTATGATGAACGCTATTGCTGGTGGTGCTACCGCTAAACCCTTCACTACCCACCACAATGACCTTGATATGAACCTCTTTATGCGAGTCGCTCCTGAGCTTTATCTAAAGATGCTGATTGTCGGCGGAATGGAACGGTATGTCGATTTTTTTTTAACTTCCTCGAACACAGACTAATAAAGTCAGCGTATATGAGATAGGACGACAATTCAGGAATGAGGGAATTGACCTTACTCACAACCCTGAGTTCACTACCTGCGAGTTTTACCAAGCTTATGCGGATGTGTACGACCTGATGGATTTGACCGAGGACCTTGTTTCCGGTCTTGTCAAGCATGTGACTGGTGGTTATGAGACAGTATTCCACACTCAGTCTGGCGAAACCTACAACGTGAACTGGAAGGCGCCTTGGCGGCGCGTGGAAATGATGCCTGCTCTGGAGGAGGCCTGTGGCGAAAAGTTCCCTGCTGGTGACCAACTTCACACTCAGGAGACAAACGAATTCCTTAAGCGCATTCTAAAGAAGATGAACGTGGAGTGCTCAGCTCCTCAGACCAATGCCCGCATGCTTGACAAGCTGGTCGGTGAGTTCATCGAGAACACTTGCATCAACCCCACTTTCATCACTGGTCACCCCCAAATGATGTCGCCATTGGCCAAGAAGCACCGTGAGCATGACGGTCTTTGCGAGCGTTTCGAGGCTTTCGTTTGGTAAGTGCTCACTCAACTTGTGTTGCTTAAAACTTCCCCGTTCCTTCCAAAATTTCCCGACTCAAAATTGGTCCAAATTGCCCCACCTGGATTGGCCAATAAGCGTTGAGTATTTTCCGAGGGGGTAGTCGCTAACTCAATCTCAATTATAGCACCAAGGAGATCACAAATGCTTACACTGAGTTGAACGATCCCTTCGACCAGCGTATGCGCTTCGAGGAGCAGGCCAACCAAAAGGACCAGGGTGATGATGAAGCTCAGATGGTTGATGAGACCTTCTGTCAATCTCTCGAGTACGGCTTGCCCCCGACTGGTGGCTGGGGTATGGGTATTGACCGCCTGGTCATGTTCCTTACCGACAACTACAGCATCAAGGAGGTCTTGACTTTCCCCATGATGAAGGATGACAAGACTGCCGCCGAGCCCAAGACTGCTGCTGAAGTCGTCGGCATCGAGCCTAGTCCTGAGGAAGGAATCCGTATGTTATTAATATCAGCAAATTTCCACGAGCCGATATCACTGACGATGAATATACAGCCCACAAATGAATAAAACGACATGATTGCCCGAGCGGACGAGGTTGATGCTATTGATTTGTGATGCGTCGTGGGGTTTGCATGCACTTCTCTGTTTCATGATGAATGCAGCAAATAAAATAGGTTCTCAAGAATATCAAGGCGACACAGCCAATTTTTAAACAATATTGTATGTGTGGAGTGCGAAGCTTTAATAAAGACTTTAGTATGGTGTGAACGTTAGGAGCACTGTGAATATAGGGTTTGAGAGACGTATATAATATCGTGAATTTACGAAAGAGGGTGGCAGAGAGTATATCGCGTGGTGGGGGGAAGCTCTGTGTGTCGAGATGACCGTCAAGAGAGAGAGGGTCACGTTTGTTGAGACCATTTAATATTGTAAGAACTGCGTACGTGAGTGGTCTGGCTGGTTGGCACTTCGAAAACAGAGACGCTCGAATGTTAACGATGGCCTCGACGGAGAACCCTATGGAGCGCAAAGAGGAAGGCCGAATGGGTAAAGTTTTTGGACTCATTACCTGTTATAAAAGATCTATCAAGGTGTATGGTGGATGTGAGAAAGATCTAGACTACGAATTTGGCAGGATCTAATTCAAGATCAGTAAGACTGAGGTTATATCAGATATCTCTTCGCCACAAGGCAGGCTGTGGACTCACGAATAGTTAGCCCTAATCAGATTGACTGCAGATCGATCAGGTGTTCAATCTAATCAATTATATCTGTGCTGTGCTTTCGAGGGTTCTGATCTGTTTGCCTACCCTCTAGCGGTCCTCTCCTCAAACTACCAAGCGTCATCCGATCCCATGAGACTGTATATAACAATGCCCAGTACAACTTGCATCTGAGAACCTTCATCAACCCCAAGCCTTTTATCTACACACATTCATTTCCATTTCTATTTCGTACATCCCCATCCTCTTCCTTTTTCTATTTTGATCAAAGCAATACTTTCGTCAAATTTCATCAAGTACCATCGAGCACAGCTCTTTTACAATCATGGGTCATCATACCATGCCTCTCCCTCGCATCCCAGACCTGAGTCTCCCATCTTTTCGAGAGCTCGACGAGTCTGTCGAAGCCAACAGGCACAACCAACCGAGCTCGCATCCCCCTAACAATATGTACGATGGAACAGGTAACAGTTCCTCGTCTTCGCCACAGAAGATGACTACAATTCCCAATCTGTACCCACCCTATCCAGCTAATGGATGGCTTGTCCCGCCTGACCCCAGCCAGAATGTTTGTATTCATCCATCTCTCCCTCGAGATATCATGCTAAACTCTAGTCAGGCGTTTCGAGCGCCCGGATTTACCTACCAAGACGTGCGTGCCGAATATAGATATCCGAGAAAGACAATACCATACATAGCTGACTTTCTAACAACAGGTCTCTACCGGGGTGATTCAACGCAATGTGAACGTGGACAGAGGTAAGAAAGAGAGAACAAGAACCTATATTTCAGGCCAAAAGTCTAGCTTACAAGCCCATTCTATAGAGAACCATCCCACCCCTCACCTCCCTCACCGGTTGAAGGAAACCATGCCATTGCAGGTATCCCCAACCCCCACGCAGTCGACTCTTAGTTCTGCACAGACAACACTCCGCGAGCAGCTATCTCCAAACACCCCGGTGTCATCTATCCCGGAGAAGATATCCCCCAACGCGCCACGACAAATCCCAACAAATCGGGTCACACTGAAGCAGGTCAACCGCCAAAGGATCAACCGCGATGCGGCCGCCAACCACCGAGTCCAGAGACGGCGAGTCAGCGTTCACTTCTCCGAGGTAGCAGCCCACACCGCAAAGTGCGATGTCTGCAACAAGCGCAACAAGAACGGCATGTCTCGCTGCCAGAACTGCGGCTGGCAAATCTGCCGCAAGTGTCTGACCGACCGAAACGGAGACCGAACTCACGCTTCCTTCGGAGCTACCCATGTCCCCGAGGGCGGAGGCGATATGGCCATGTCTTTGTCATCTGTGAGTGGGAACGAAAACCGCCGATCCCCGGAGTCCAATGCTGAAGTCAGGGCTGCACAAACCCTGCTTGATCTTGGATCTTTTGGTAACGCAACCGGAACTACTGCTACAAGCGGCGATATGAAAGGTAATGCAGGTGGACAGAATGTGTTTACTGCACGTGGCCGAGTCTTGCAGAGGCAGGTCGATACTTTGTCTACTGATTCTGATATGACCTTGTCAGTTGTTGGAGATGAGGAGTGGTGGCGTCAGGATGAGTCTGATATTCCTATTGGGGAGGATGGTCTGCCTGTTGGATACATCATAACACGTCGTAACCCTGCGCGTGCTGCGAGACCTTCTACGAAGATGGCGGAGTAAGTTGGTGTGGATTTGCTGTGGCAGGCAAGAGCAAGGAAATGTTACGGAGATCTGAAAATTGAATGTAAAAAAACGGTGGAAGGCAAGTGTGGAGAAATGGAAGATGAGAACCAAGAACTGTGGGACTGGGAAAGGAGAAGAAAACAAAGGAAATTGAGAAAAACAAAGAAACGGATGAGCGCGCGTTTGGGATATCAAATTTGGATAGGAAGGTCAACCAATAACATTCTTTTTAGTTCAAAATGTGTTTTTACAATGAATGCGTAGTTATGCTAGTTATACAATAAGACTCGAGCATCGCTCGAGTCAACGAATGAATGGAGATGGTATCAAGTACCAAGGAGATTGATCAACACAATCAACCCTGGTCGACATATTCATACACTTGAGAGGCAAACTTCTTAGACTCTCTTCACAGCAGAGGCAGCTGTGCTAGAAAGCTGCTGCGAACGAGCCTTCGCGGCCATCTGCAACAGCTTGGCTGTACGCGACGGATGCCAGACTCTGCTGCCCAAGATAACGACCCAGGTCAGGAGGAACAAGCTGCCAGCCTGGTGGGCGGAGGCAAGCGGAGTGGGGACGAGGTAGAGAAGAGTAGTAATACCGAGTCCGACCTGGCAACAGGCGAACGCGAACACGCCGTGGACACCCTTTCTAGCAGGTGCAGGCAGGAAGCGCTTCATGGTGGGCGAGGTGCGGGTGTAAGCCAACAAGGCGCAAATGGCAGTAAAGGTGGTCACTGCGAGGGCGCGGTGGTCAAGCTGAACAAGAGAAGGATTCTCGAGCATGTTGCGCCACCAAAGATCGGAGCGGTCCTCGTGGCGGGAGTAGCGGGCATCGAACAGCTCCTCCTTGGGAGGTGTTAGTCCTTTGCCCATCCATGGGAATTCGTTATAAATAAGTCCAGCATCAAGACCAGCAACAAGACCGCCAGAAATAACAGTTGTGAAGACCAAAAGAGCAATACCAGCGACAGAGCGGCGGAAGAAGGCCAGCTTCGGGTCGCGCAGCGCATTTAGTTGGTTGATTCCGGCAGCTGGGTCGGCGATCAACCGATTAGACCGCAAAATAGCAAGACCATTCCACAACATGGCGACGTAGCAAACGAAAGCAGCACCCAGGTGAGCAGTGAGACGGTATTGGCTCACTCGTGGGTGACTGCCCGGAGCAAAGAGATCATCCTTCAAGCCAGACTTGACCATCCACCAGCCAAGGAAACCCTGGAAACCAATAAGACCAGCAATTCCGAAGAGACGCAACGCCATGGGCGTGGAGACCTTCTTTCGGGCGACGAAGTAGACGGCAGGCAGCACAAACGAGATTCCGACGAACCGGCCCCAGAGCCGGTGAATCCATTCCATATAGTAGATCGACTTGAACTCGGATAGAGTCATGTTCGGGTTAAGCAATTGAAATTCGGGAGAGGCGCGGTACTTTGAGAACTCATCTTCCCAGTGTTCCGCATTCATTGGGGGGAGGGATCCGGTAACAGGTCGCCATTCGGTAATACTCAATCTGTGCCAAAGTTTGTCCCGTCAGCATTCGAGGCTCACTTTTCGAGAAGACAAAGCAGTCCATTCCACGTACCCAGATTCTGTCAACCGTGTCAAACCACCGAAGACCACAATTCCAAAAACACTGGCCGCGCTGCCTAGAAGCCAGTAGGCCACGGCCTTGTCACTAATTTTGGGGAAGCTCGATTTGGCTTTCGTGGCGCCCTCTTCGACCGCCTCTGCAACGGTTGGTGCGGCATTTGAGCGTTTGATACTGGAGGTGAAGAATTTCTTATTGTTCAGAAGGTTCGATTGAATCTTGCTGGGTTGGCGGAACTGAAGGGCACCGAATTGGCGGATTGATTTAGCTGCGTAGCCCTGACTTGGGAGGCATTGGGATGTGAAAAAGTCCTTAGCCAAACGAGGCGCAACACCCCGCCATAACGACAGAGAACTCCCCAGAGAAGCCATGGTTGAGGCAGATGAGTGAAGAAGAAAGTTGGTAAAGTTCGGGGATTGTACGATGTCGCGGAATGCGTCGGCCAATCAGCAGTGGAGCATTTGTCGGAGTGGAATAGCACTGTCAGCAGTACACAACAGCTGGTGTAATTAAATTGATAATTAAGAGAATAATGATATCTATACCGTTTGAATTAGAACTAAGCGTGGCTATCCATGTATGGGCCCAATATCGATGTTGCTGCCTCAGGCGGATACACCTCGGGCGTGATGATCGCCGCAGCTCCAACTCTCCGCGTTGTATTGGTCCGCATCACTTGACTTGCTTCCCAACACAACACCAATATGTCCTACGCTCTGGAATCAAAGAAGCGCAAGTTCCATCGTGTTCTCGAATCAATATCCAAGCCTCTTACACCTGACAACGCGCCCAAGCCAGCCCCTGCGACGCCTACGACGGTGCAAGAACGCATCTCCGCCAACTTATCAATCAAGAAAGTACGCTTGGCCAGTGCCGACCGCTCTGATCTCACAGCAGTGCGCAACTCAATCCACAAAATCTCTCGACCAGCGCACCGAATAACCTCCGCAAATTCGAATAAGCGCCCAACCTTTGTCCCTTGGGACCGCGAACGTTTTCTCGAGCGATTAGAGACCTTCCGCCGTGTTGACCGATGGACTTCGAAGCCGTCTCCGATCAATGAAGTACAATGGGCGAAGCGTGGTTGGATATGTACAGATGTTATGCGCGTCAGCTGTGTGAGTGACTGCGGTGGCGCAGTCGTCGTGAAACTTCCCGATGAAATCGATGAGCTTGATGGCTTCAACATTGAGAAGGTGGAGGAGCGGAAGGAAGTCCGTGAGTACTCCAACAGATTGCTGGTCCAGCTTAATGGGGATATATGCTAACCTACACACCTGCAGGCGCGAGGCTGGTGGATGAGTATGCGAAAATGCTCAGCAGTGCTCATGGTGAAAACTGTCCCTGGCGGAACAAGAGCTGTGATGGTGAGTTTGAATAGGACACTGAGAACATGACATCCCACGACTAATATCAAACCAGCCACTATCCAACATCTCCCTTTAACCAATTGCGATGCTGCCCTATCGGGACTCCACGAGCGATACAAAAACATCTCGGAAATGGGCGATAAATTACCAGCTGAGGATATCGTTCAGACCCCAGAAGGACTTGACCTTGATGTCCTTATTAAAGGACTTCCCGAAGAATGGTTCCAAGAAGCCGAGCAAGCTGCTTTATCCACCAATGGAGAGACTCAGACTACACACATCAACAACCAAGACTCAACAGAAACACCTAAAGCAGTCAATCGAGCTGCCCTGGCGCTAGCATTGCTAGGCTGGGATACTGCGTCCGATGGAGCTGCGGGGTTAGTCTGGTGTGGCGCATGTTTCCGTCGCCTTGGGTTATGGATGTACAAACCCAAAGATAATGGAGATGTTACCGTCTACACTTCCCTCGATGTGGCCGGCGAGCACATGGAGTACTGTCCCTGGATTGACAATGTAGCGCAAAGTGGCACTGGGCGGCCAAACGAGAAGTTGGCGGAACTACGTGCTGGGTGGCAGATCGTCGTGGAAGCCGTAAAAGTCAAACACCGCCGCAGAGTTCGCACCATGGCCTCCACCGATACATTGCGGACTGACATAGGCACTCCCATGGAGCCTGCAGGCGAAGAAGAAAACGCGGATGCGAAAAAGAAAGCAGACCGCGAGTGGTGGGCGAAAATTCGACGAGTGAGACAGGTTTTGACGGCCAAGTCGCCAAAACGGAAAGCTGTCTTGCCTCAATGATCTTGCACTCTCATCTTCATTTCTATTGAATAGTACATTAATTGGGAGCGCGGGTTTTATGAAGAGGGTCAGAGTGCATCTTTTAGCGGCTTGGGTTTCTTTCAGATATTTCCGATTTATGGTCATTGTGAGACACGATACTTCGCAATGATTAGAATACATTTATCTCATAGTCTATATGTTTATATGTTTATGCAATCTAATCTCAAGAATCCATGAAGGTTGTAGACAGATGAAAGAGAATTAGGGTTCGGTTAGGACGCTCTGATTGGACGAGATCCGGAGCTCATTGGACTTTCTTCGGACTCCCAGCTGCCCATTATTCTGATATATCTCTGACTTCCACAACTCCGGAGGCAATATTTCTGTGGTTTCTGTGAAATCCACCTGAAACTCTCTATTCTTCTAATATTTTTCTAATCTCGGCATACCCCTTTCTTTCTTTCCTCGCCAGATTCTCACGACGATTGTTCTCCCGAATCACTTCTTTGATCAGTCAACAATCCCTACCCACGTCGCCATGGATCATCCCAATGGAAATGGAGCTCATGATGGAGCTCCCGGCCGGTCCACCCCCCGTTCGCCTGCCCGCACAAATACCACATACCCTCCAACAGATAGCGGTAGACACAGGAGCATCGAAGGAGACGGTGCGGCAGACGGATCGAACCATTTATCAAGTGCAGCATCCAAGCGTAAGAGACTCCAGGAGAGACACCAAGCCCTCCGTAAACGGGGCCGAACTCCGCCGTCAGTATTCTCGCGCCGCAACCGCTCCCGCAGCCCAGGTGGCGCTCCCCCACGCGACGACCGACGCTCTCGATCGCCATTACAGCCACGCCGCTCTCCCTCCCCCGATGCACCGCGTCAACGCAAGAGACCGGGTGGCGGAGCACGACAGGGACTCTTGGACCGTGAAACACTACGCCGCAAACAGGAGGAACGTGAACGTGCGGAGCAGGATGAGGCTATGCGCAACTCTCAGCAGCGCGGTGTGACGGACGTGGTCCGACAACACTACAACGCGGTTCCCGAGAGAGGCCGTGAGTGGCGGAAGACAGAGAGTAAAATCAAGGGACTACGAAGCTTCAATAACTGGGTGAAGAGTACTCTGATTCAGAAGTTCTCTCCCGATGAATCATTTGTCGCACGATTCGAGGACAGCAAAGACTGGGCGAATGACAGCCAAGGGCCGCCGCCCCCTGCTGATCAAAAGCTTCTTGTACTGGATCTAGGCTGTGGTAAGGGTGGCGATCTGGGCAAGTGGCAGCTGGCGCCTCAGCCGGTTGACCTCTATGTCGGTCTTGACCCTGCAAATATCTCGATTGAGCAGGCGCGAGGTCGGTACGATCAAATGCGTACAGGCCGCGGTCAGCGAGGCCGTCGACCACCTCAGCCAATTTTCCATGCCGAATTCTACCCGAAAGACTGCTTTGGCGAGTGGCTTGGTGATGTCGACATCGTCCAGCGGGTTGGTATCGACGCTAATGCCGGCCCCGGTGGATCTATCATGGCCTCTCGCTATGGCGGTGGTGGCTTTGATATCGTCACATCTATGTTTGCCATTCATTATGCCTTTGAGACTGAGGAGAAGACACGCCAAATGCTCAGCAATGTTGCGGGTTGCTTGAAGAAAGGTGGTCGTTTCCTTGGTGTTTGCCCCAACTCAGACGTCATTACCAGCCGCGTGTCTGCATTCCATAAGGAGCGCAAGGAACGCGAAGCTGCCAAACCTGCTGAGCCGGAAGGCCCCGAGGACGGTGAAGTCGAGGAGGATGAGCGGGCCCAATGGGGCAACGACATCTACCGGGTTCAGTTCCCCGGCGCAACCCCCGAGGATGGAATCTTCCGTCCGCCTTTCGGGTGGAAGTACAGTTACTTCATGAAGGAGGCAGTGGAAGAGGTTCCCGAATACGTTGTTCCATGGGAGGCTTTCCGAGCGTGAGTGTCGGCTATAATCACGTTCTACCACGCATAACTAACTTTTTACCTAGTCTGACCGAAGATTACAACTTGGAATTACAATACCGGAAGCCATTTTTGGATATCTGGGAGGATGAGAAGAATCACCCCGAGCTGGGTCCGCTCAGTGAGCGGATGGGCGTAAGAGACCGCACGACTGGTGCTTTGAATATGACAGAGGAAGAGAAGGAGGCCGTCAGTGAGTAATCCCCATATGTGCATTCCTTTTCTCGACTCCTAACAGATGACTAGGCTTCTACCATGCATACTGCTTCTACAAGGTATAAGCTCTCATGGATGCTTTGAATATTCCATTTGTCGCATGTGTAAAATCTCCATTGCTCAGCATTTGTATTATCAATTCGAGAGAATCATCTTAAATCCCAAAATAACTAGAGCTTCCAACAACACTTATATGACATGAACCACCATTAGAATCCGCAAATAACCCCATCCACAGGCATTGCCACTCCACTTAACTTTCTCAATCAACGAGTCTACTATTCCAAAATTCCTCCCATCTATAAATCCTGCTGCTGAATCTCCACCACATTTCCATCGGGATCCGTAACCATCAAAAATATCTCAAACCCAATCAACCCCTGCGCCTTAACAAGCGCCTTTTTAGCCGCAAGATGCAAGCCCGCAAACTCCCCAATTCCCATCGAATTGGGCACAGGCCCAGTAAAATCCTCCACAGCCACGCCAACCCTCTTAAGAATCGCCACTCCCTGCTCTTCAAGATACGTCTGCGCTTGCACAACATCAGGAACAACAAGCCCAACATGTCCGAAAGTATTGGTCCTTTCAGTCGACGCAATAAGCCGGTCATCCGAGATATTGAACTGCACCAGCTCCAGCAGCCCGTACATATTGTTCTTGGCCACCGCCATCTCCGCCCCGGTTTGGAAACCGGTGCCGTTCCGTCCGCCTTGCGCGTAGCCCATGTAGGTTACGGAGTACTCGGCTGTCACTTGTGCGTCGAAGATATTGCGCATGCCTAGGATGTTGCCGTAGAAGTTCTTCATGGCGGGGAGGTTGGTGGTTAGGAGACCGATGTGGTTGAAAGCGAAGCCTTTTGTTGCTTCTGGGGCTGGGCCATCGTTGCCGATTGTGAAGGGGTTTGGGGAGTTGGTATCGCGGCGGGATGGGTTGCAGGCTTTGGTTGTTTGGATTGCTAGGAGGAAGAAGAGGGTGGCAGAGAGGGTTGAGATATACATATTTGAGGTAATTGGGTTTAATAAGTATGGTCTTTAGACCAAAAGATGGTGATATAAATGAGTATAGTTCGAGATATTTTCCAGGTGTTTCTACCCTTTATATATACGGACGCAATCTCAAAAAGCTGTGAACTTTGACTGTCATTGTCAAAAGACGTAGCTAGCTAGCTGAAAAACACCATAGATTCTATTACTGAACTTACTGGTCTACCGCACCTATACATCGCATGAGATAATGAGCTGTTCGGCTTAGTGGGGGCTGCGCGCAAGGCTAGCTTTATATGGTCAGACCTGGCGATATGCCAAGGCTGAGAACCAGCCTCAGGGTCTATGTTTCCTTCGAAAATTCTATGTGTTGTCCATTTTCCGGGCATTTAGAGTTGATTGTGGAGTATGATCGAGTCCAGAGCTGCGGGTGCAGCCACTGGGGTCTCTTGGCAGCGGCATATACACCGCTAGAAAGCCTAGCGCTACATCAAATTGCTACATTATACTCTTCAGTAAATGCAGATCAGTGCTCAAATCAGATGTGTATACGGGGCGCCAAGCCACCCGCATCTTTGATACGGCAGTTGGATTGGGGCGTAATGGTCTTTGTAACTGTCGTCCGATTGGTACGAGTTTCAGAGAATATGCGAGATTGTGTAGATTTATGAAACAAGCAACCCTTGTCGCTGATAGGTCGTTGAGTATGGTTAAGGCGTGCCATTCTGACTTCGTCATTCTAAGCTGACTTCACAATGTAATTCATCTGGGAAGATTGAGGCACATACCGAGGGTATTTTGTGCTATTCGAGCAATAAAATCAGGCATAACGAGGTAGCTAGAATATTGAGACGGGGTTCCCTTATCATCAGCTCATGCGTGGGGGTTTGCCATGTAATTAGTGAAAGATGAAACCCTGCAATTTCAATCCTATGTCCAGCAGGAGGAATTTGTGACACAAACCAGATATTTCAAAACAAACTGCTAACTCACATTCCCCTGTTGACTTTGATTCAAGAGCAACTCTATGTAGTTGAAGAAATACTAATGGTCAAGGTCGTGTGCCTCAAGAATAGCGGGAGCTTCTGGCCTGGCCGATTTCTAAGATTGTCTGTCACTGGCGAGGATAAATACCTCGAATTAAAAACTAGAGTGTTGTTTGTATATCTAGATATTTTGCACCTCCCATTTGGAGATGCTGTATTTGTATGGGAGAAAGGAAAATATGTCATGTAGATCTTTTGGCATAAGGTTGAAGTGGGAGGTGATGATGGGGAATGTTTCCCACATATACATCTAACAGCTAGCGGGTTGGTCCTTAGATTTTCAAAATTGGAGGAACATGGGTGTAGACGATGCAGAAGAGATAAATAAAAGTGTTGAGAGAATTATACTCGACATACCTACTTCCAATGTCAAGGCCCACCCCCATAGTGATAAGGCTTATCGCTGGTATATGTAACCCAAAGCGGGACTAGCGTCATCGCGTCTCGCGTCGGGATTTCGAGATGCGCTTTGTTACTTGGACTTTCTTTCTTAACGGCTTGGGAACCCTGTACTCGAATCAAAGCATAAAACCCCCGATAATCCTAATCTCACCAACCCACCGACTACAATAATTCTTCTCCCACAAGAATGTCGGCCACACCAAGCCGACGGCCCTCAGCGTTATCTCAGCCACAATCAGCACAATCACGCAGACGAAACGCAACCCACACAGAGGCGATACCCCTTCCAGAATATGAGCCTCCTGTGGCCCCTCTCACAGTCGAAAGCCAGCGCCAAATCGCCGCCCTCCTTTCATCACAGCACCTCCGCACCCTCCGCACCCACCTCCAACATGCCGCTGAGAAACTCACACACTCAGGCGGGGAAGTAAACGAGCGGCTTAGTGATGCCAGGACCCGATATGAGAAAATGAAGGAAGCGCGCCGGCGTCAAGGCGACGAGAATGTCGATGATGACGAATCCAATGAGGAGTACCAGCGGCTTGCTGAGGAAGAGATTCGGGTCAACGCTATCACTGCGAAGATGGAGGAGAAGACTCGACTGATTGTCGATTCAGAAATAAAGCTCCAGGGGTTGACGGATGCGATGAGTCAAATTGAAAGGGAGGAGGGCGAGACTGTCGCTGCTGCTTTGGGAGTGCGACAGACCCGTCAACAACGAGCGAGGCAGAGAGCCAATGCTGCCGATGATGATGATGATGATGGGCCTGAGGATCCCGCCGATGGTGATTATGAAGATGAGCAGGAGATAGAGATGCGGGAGCGCAATGCCGAGAACCCGCCTAGTCGCAAGCTGGTCGATAAGTTGACGGAGGGCCTTCAGAAATGGGATGAGCTTTCATTAACAGAGAGGTATGAGATTTACTCCTGGTCATATTTGTGGCTGTTATACTGGAAAGCGCAGAAACTGACAACTACGATCTAGATATGCCAACAATAACTCCTACATCGGCTTCTACCGCATGGTACACGACTCCAAGTTCCCCGGCGATGACGTCCCGCCATTGCCTCACTCATCTACATGGTTCGACCACATGGAAGATACGAATACGCGATCGGGGGCATCTACACGTACACGCAACCAGAACCGTCGCGCCTCGCCCGCCGGCTCCGACGATGACATTGCCATTGAGCGCGAGCGCATCTCGCTCAAATGCCCATTGACTCTCACACCTTACCAGGATCCTGTTACCAGTACAAAATGTCCCCACAGTTTCGAGCGCGAGGCCATTATGGACATGATCAGCCGCAGTCCGACGACTATTGCGCCCCCGGCATCTCGTCGGGGACAGCGCCGCGTCCATGTGGTCAAATGTCCTGTTTGTTCTATTCCGCTGACTGCGGACGATCTGCGCCCAGATCCGGTTCTACTACGACGTGTTCGCCGCGCCCAAGAGCTCCAGGAGCGCGAGGAAGAAGATGATCACCTTGAAGGGGATGGCAGAAAGCAGAAGGATCGAAGTACCGGCATTACCTTAGGTAGTGACGTGGAAAGCGATGATGATGCTATGGATGTTGATGCCCACCCTCCCTCACAGCGCATCAAAATGGAGCCGCTCAGTCAGGCTGCTCGGGCCGCTCAATCTGATGAAGAGTCTAGCGAAGATGCGGAGAGTCAAGATGGTGAGGTTGAGGATGTGGAGAATGTAGAAGGGGAGAATGAAGAAGAGGAGATTGAACAAGAACAAAATGAAGAGGAGGAAATTGAGGAACCTGACAACGAAGAAGAAGAGATGCAAGACATGGAGATCGACGAACTGGACAACGAACTAGCGGAGAACGAAGTGGAGATTGAGGAGCCGGAGAACGAAGAAGTGGAGACCGAACAAGTTGAGATTGAACAAGAGCAGAATGAAGAGGTGGAAACCGACGAATCGGAAAACGAAGCCGATCAAAATGAAGGAGTGAATGAGGAAGTGCCTATCAATGAAAGGCAGAATGAGGAAGAGCAGAATGAAGAAAGTCAAACTGAAATGGAGAACGGGGATGTGGAAGATGAAGATGCGGCGAGCGAGGAGGAGCAGAATGATGCTACGAATCCTCACAAGGATGTACAAGCGGATGTGCAGAGTGGGAAAGGGAAAGATAACAGCGAGGACAGTGACAGTGAGACCGAAGACACTGAAGACAGCGATAGTGATATTGAACCCAAAGTTGAGAGTGGGTCCGATGAGGAAGTGGAGGGAGAAAGCCAAGAGAGTGATTGATATGCATGACACCGTCCATTTCGAGCGTTTTTAACTGAAGTTCCTTCCCATTCAACCGAGACAATGAAACATTTTAATCTATGGAGCACATATTATCGTATGGGATATTTTCAAGATATTTCTTAGATCTCAAGCTGACTGCATCTGTACTACATAGAATACAACCTCTGATTGCTTGATTCATGTTATCTGATACATCTAATTCTGGTGACTGCCGGCAGGTGTCAAGCACATGTTTTAAAATTCCGAAAGAACAGATTACGCTAGTCCCCTCGTGGTGTCTCCCCGCAGTTGAGCCAACGGAATGTCTCGTGGGACCCGGACCAATCAGCCAATCAAACGTGAGACATAGCTGTTTCAAGACTAGCGTCCCTCGTTCTCCCTTTAATTATACGATAGTCTCTCTCCTATTCTGTTATTTCTTTTATTTCTTTTTATTTCGGGATGTGACTCTAAATGCCAGATCTCCAACTCTATTAGCCGACAAGCCCCATAGTAACCTTGGTGACCCTACAAATACTACATCTCCTCCCCCAGTCATTCTCACGCGACAACCCGCTTTACCGGCCCCCAGTCAAAGACACAGTACCATCAGGGTGTAACACTGCTATCAAAGCGTCCCGCTCCCCAATCATCTAGACCCCGCAGGGAAGAGCCCCTTGTCCAATTGTATCTACCACCAATATCTATGCTGCTCTTCCTTAAGGCCCCGCCACAGAAAGCTAGCTCCAGCCCGTGACTGAACCCAATGCAACCCTGCAACACTATTTTGGCTGTTGATACATCTATCTCTCTTATAATTGTAATCTCGACTTACTCAGGCTTATATCTCCAGGCTGGAGTGGTAAGGGTACATCGTACAAGAGCTGACTATCTTTGAATTTTTTGGTTTAAAGATCTCATGCCTCCTTTTTGAACTTCCCTCCCCCCCCCCCCACACACCTCTTAATATTCTCTACACATTTTATCGTCTATTTTTCTACGGCCTCCACTCCTTCATTCATAATGGATGAACGGAAGACCCCCGTCGAATATTCCTCCGAACCTGACCCCATACCCAGACCTGCCGGATGGAGGTACAAGTCGAGAAAGATCGGCAACTTCTCAACGAGCTGGTATGCCTCGCCACGCATCCAGCTGGGCATGGTCGCCTTTGTCTGCTTCCTCTGCCCAGGCATGTTTAACGCCCTGAGTGGAATGGGCGGTGGTGGAAAATCCGACCCCAGCTTGGCCGACAAAATGGTACGATGGGACCCCGGCACTTTTGTTTTTCTTCTTCTACTCGTGTCTCCACTCTTCACAATACTCCGAAACTCCGATTTGGTCGCATTGATTCCCACTCTCTAACAATAACAGAACATCGCCCTGAACAGTACCTTTGCCGTGGTGGGTTTCTTCGCCGGAACAGTCGTCAACCGTCTCGGTGTCCGTCTCTCGCTCTCCTTCGGTGGAATCGGTTACTGCATTTACTCCATTAGTCTTCTCGTCTCCGAACATGCTTATGTCCCCGGTTTCAACATCTTCGCCGGCGCCTTCCTCGGTGTCTGCGCAGGTCTGCTCTGGGCCGCACAGGGTACCATCATGATGTCTTACCCAATCGAGCAGCAGAAGGGTCGGTACTTTGCTTGGTTTTGGGGTATTTTTAATGTCGGCGCCTGTATTGGTAGTTTGGTGAGACAAGCCCACTCCCCCTTACCTGGACCTGCAGTCCCAATTGGCTACATCATTCATCAGCAACTAACACGGTAATTTAAAGATCCCTCTGGGCCAAAACATCCATGTTACGGAGAACAAGACTGTCGGTGACGGTACTTACATCGCCTTTATCGTACTTATGTTCGCAGGTGCCTGTCTCGCCCTGTGTCTCTGCGATGCTGACAAAGTCGTGCGTCCCGATGGCTCGCGTGTCATCCTGATGAAGAACCCCTCGTGGAAGTCCGAGATCGTCGGATTGTGGGATACAGTTCGCTCGGAACCATGGATCGTCCTCCTGTTCCCCATGTTCTGGTCCTCCAACTGGTTCTACACATACCAACAGAACGCCATTAACGGCGCCTACTTCAACACACGCACCAAGGCTCTGAACGGATTCCTGTACTGGTTTGCGCAGATCGTCGCCGCTGTTATCATGGGTCCTCTCCTTGATACCGAGCGCGTTCGTCGTTCCGTTCGTGCTAAGGCAGCCCTGATCGGCCTTTTCATCCTCACAGTCGTTATTTGGGGTGGTGGCTATGCTTGGCAGGCGAGATATACCCGTGCAGATGTGGACCCCAAGACCACGGATTTCACGGGCTGGGATTGGACTACCAAGGGTTACGTTGGTCCCATGTTCCTCTACTTCTTCTACGGCATGTACGATGCTGCCTGGCAGGGTATTGTCTACTGGTAAGATCTTCTTCGTCTTCTTCCCTGCCATACCTCGTGACTGACATCGTTTTCTTCTAGGATCATGGGCGCCCTCGGTAACTCCGGTCGCAAGCTCGCCAACTTGGCAGGATTCTACAAAGGTCTTCAATCTGCCGGTGCAGCTGTCATGTGGTCGTTGGATGAAAGAAAGATCCCCTTTATGAACGAGTATGCCTCGAACTTCGGTCTGCTGTGCGGTTCGATTCTCATCGCTGTTCCGGTCGTCTTTTTCAAGATTAAGGACACTGTTCCTGTGGAGGAGGAGCTTGAGGGCACGGGCGAGACGCTCGAGGATGTGCTGCCGCCTGGTGCTATTGAGTCCCAGCGTGTTGGCGATGATAAGATCTAATCAAAACTAATATGAACTCGAAGGGAATTGGATGGAATATGATCTTTTTTTCTTTCGTTTTTGCGATGGGCGTCTTGTTTCTCTGTGGACTCTGGAAGTGCGCCTTGAGATCGTGAATTGCCGATCTTATGGTTTTATTTTTTTTTAACGTTGTCCCCTTACGATTCCCCTCGGCCATCTGGCTCACATATCGCCAGTGGTGCACTCTGGGTCTCTATTTTTACGAAGTCGGTTTTAATGGTGAATTGTTTCACACTCACGATGGCATGTCTTCCTTCTCATTTGTGTTCCTATTCTATAGGACCTGCTTTCTGCTTTGCCGTTAGAATGGAATACATTCAGATAAATAATGGAAAGACGTTACCTATGTCTACGCAATTATCCCATTCGCGACTAGGGTGGTAAATTAGACCTAATGACACTCTCGAACTATATATAATTCTAAAGGTTAGCTTCGATATACCGAACTTGTGCAATATCAATACGAGATCTTGTCTTTGTTTTGATGCTTTATTGATTCATGGAGGAAGAAATCAAGCTACTAGAAGCGAGATTATAAAAATGTTAGCACGAGGTTGGTTCTATATATATATCAAGTGCCACGCTCGAAACATGTGCCGAAAGCTTATTTGGAACAATTTACTGATCCACCGACCCGTACCTAAGCGTAAAACATGGGAAATATTCATTCACTCTACTAGTATCAAACATACTCGCCCCGAAAGCATTCACAGGGTGAACGAAGCAGGGCCCGGCAGGGTGGACGGAGTATTCTTGCGAGATTCGGACCGGATCAGATGTTCAAAGGACGCAGAATCCTCAACGCGAGGGTTGAACGGCTCGAAATCCCATAGATAGCCCAGGGTACGGAGAATAGAAGAAGCCGAATAAGAGACAGTCTGGCCCTCGGCATCAGTCCCCTTCTGCTCGACGAATCCCTTGCTAACCCAGGGCGAGATTAGAAGAGTGGGAATACGGCCACCGAGACGGTTGAATTCATAGGTATACTCTTCTCCATTGGCGGCCTTCTCCGTGTATGTCAAGTTATCCGGACGAGTTGCCAGAGGGGGCGGGACGTGGTCGTGAAAACCGCCAGTCTCATCGAAGGTGAGAATGAAGAGAGATTCCTCCCACTGAGGGCTGGCGCGGAGAGCCTCGTACACCTTCTTGATGAAGGCCTCGCCGTCGGAGATCAAACCACTATCGTGCATGGAAGTCGTGCCAACGCCACAGCACGAGGGGTTGAGGTAGGAGAATTCGGGAAGAGCTCCCTTCGCGGCATCGGTGTAGAAGTTAGTCATTGGGACGACTTTTTCAGTATTGTCGGAGGATTTGGTCCACTCGAACCAGTGGGCCTCGGGACCGGTGCCGCCGGCGGTATCCCAGTAATTGAGCCATGTGTGGTTTGTTTCGCCTAATTGTTGGAAGATGGATCGCTGGGAGAAGGAGTAGGTACCGAAGGAATCATCGTTGGATCCGTGGCCGGCGGTGGTGCCGGATACCAGAGCGGCACGATTAGGATCTGTGGGCTATAGATAATTTAGTAAGATTTCCACATCGGACTTGTTGCTTTACTTACCCCAGCAACATCAGAGTGCCAGTGGTTGAAGGTCAAGAAGTTGTTGACCAGAGATGTCAGAACAGGGACCTGGTCTTCGGTGTAGTAGTTCATGACTTCGGTGGCTAGCACAGACTTATTGACAGAGGATCCGTAATTGTGAATTTGCTCGTGGATAAAACCATTATTATTCGGGACCAGCTTGCCCTCCGCAATTAGTGTGTTATCAGGTGTCCATTCGCTGTAGAATTCCATAGTGTTGCCGGTGACAGCATGGCTGGGGTCACTAGTGACAGAGTTGTAGTCCCTAAGAGCGGTGCAATGGGATCCCTGCGAAGGATCGGTCACATTGTATGGGTTGCAGTAAGGTCCATTTTTGATAGGGTTTTCCAGGCCTTTGATGGTCTGGCCCCCGAGCAGGTTGTCAACAGACCGGTTTTCCATACACAAGACGACGACATTCTTAATTTTGGACCTCAAGTTCTTGATGGAGGAGGTAGAATGAGCCTGCTGAGGATTGGCAGGGATAGCTGAGGCAGCACTGGCAAGGGCCAAAAGGCCGACAAGGGCACTGTGGTGCATTTTGTGTAGAATTGCTTAGTTCGTGCGCTGCTTGGAAGGACACCGGAAGATGTAGCTGCTTTATACCTGACCCTTGAGTAAAGATCATTGCTACAGTTTCATGAGCTGCTCCCACGTGGGAACTATGGAATATCAATTGGAGCATCCTTTCTTTTTAGAAATCTCATTAAGCGAGATGAATCCCTGCGGTATAGTCGCAAACTATGCCTTGATTGGGAGCAGACACATCATGAAAAGAACAATAAGTGAAAACTATGGTCCTCTGCCAAAGATCAGAAACAAAACAGGATAGCTATTGTCTCCAATGGAATTGGAATAAGCGGACACGAGGTGCATGACTGCAAGTTGGAAAGAAATTCGGAAGTATGCGGGGTTTAGTGCTACTGCCATTCGGGAGAATTAGTTGGACGATCTCAATCAGACGATGCAACCAAAACAGTCTAGAGGCATACATGCAAGACACTGGTATCCGGCTAGGAACATATTGATATGAGCTATCTGCACGGATTTCGGTCTGGCTGTGTTATAATACTACACTAACCGACTGGGGAAGTGGCTAAGCTTTCTTTTCGGCACACCCCGCAGGCCATCCCGTCTCATAGTTATCCCGTGCTGATTGATAAGCTCATGATTGGACAAAATGACTTGGATATAATCGGAACCTTTAGTTATTTTGCTCATGTAAAAAGTATTTACTGCTAAGAAACATGCCACCATCGATCTTGTTATCGCCCAATAGACTAACGGAGGTTGGTCGCAACTTGTGACTATACTGTACTATAAGGCCCGCTGCTTCTAGCTATAGAGAGTATTTGCTAGGTGGCTGCTTAAGTACTACAATATGAAAATGCAGATGTCAGCGCAAGAAGTCACTATGGTATCCTTGCTGTTCTTACTACGCAACGGGGTTATAAGCAAAACACCGAAGTACTCTTTGAAAATGGCACGTATATAGTCGGTGCGGTATGTCTCCTTATGTATTTGCCCATTTTGAATGTTGTCGATCAAATAAACTGTTGTTCAGAGCTATATTTTAGATTCTCACTTCCTTCAACCGCTCGACCCCTCCTAGCCGTTGACAAATATGAGTTACGCCGGCTGGAGCTGAGTAGAGTCATCTGAGAACTCTGAGTGGTATCTTGAAAGCAAAGATTCTAGGTGATCATAGTTATTCAGCATCCTATGAGTATTCTTAGCTTCCTCGTGGAGGTTAAAATAGTCAGATTACCACAACACTGGTTGATACCTTTCATCAATGTCTTAGTACTGTCAGAGTATAACTAAATCTGCAATTTTTATTTTTTTTTACTTAAATACACTGGTACCGATATTGATTTAGCTTTGCGATAAAGCTGGCAGTATAGCCTGTATAGGAAGTTAAATCTTTTTATATTAGAGTTATCTAACATCCATTCAAGAAATACCATTACGTCTGTTTTCTTTGCTACGCAAAAGAACTAGAAGTATTATTTCTCCCCTAGATAGTTATAATGGATAGGTTATAGTTGCGTAGTACTTATGAGTGTGATATTAGTATGAGTGCCTACTTGATCTACATTGTCTTGATGTATTTGATATGATGCTTTTCACCAATTATCGACGCTTTCAATAATACTCAGGGCTAAGTACCTTTCTCGATCATTTAAATATCAGGACCCTGCCTTGGTAGCCACAATACAGATGGTTTGTTATTCTTGTCCGGGGCGGCTATAAACGGAGCTCCCGAGGTCACTTGTGACCACACACGTCATCACTGATACTTTGATCACTAAGCAATGTTTCGGCCCGAGGTTATTCGAAGTGATCTTAGAGTGTCTACGGAGTAGGATTTGGTAAAGTAGGATTTGGTAAATAGGCAGCTTAAACCGGCGTCCAAGGCAGCAATTCTTGGCGGCCGATTTACGTCAATTCGCGTTGTGGTGTAGGAAGATACATATACATTTTGAAGAATACCAACCAACATAAATTAGAGAAATTAGACTGTTAGATATTGAAGAAAGGAAAAAGAGAGAAATAGGCAAGTAAGCTATCTATCCACTGAGGATCCTACCTAGCTAGCATATCCACCTCAAGCAGACATAAGTGGCCCAAGACCATGGTGTAGAGTATGGTAGAGGCAAAGAACAACAGCAAGATAAGAGGGTATTCGCTTGTCGAAAACTCAGCAAAGGCAAAACAAAATAAAACAAGAGAGTGAGCAAGGACTTGACAAAGACTGTGTGATGTATTCTGTTGTCGTGCTGGCTTTCCGCGGAGACCGACCCACCCCGTATCCTCTCTCCGAAATTTCATTTCCTCTTCCCCGGGAATGAAAAAGAAATTGCAAGTGGAAATGACTTTTTGCCGGTCATGTTTTCCGAATGTCCAGGAAGCAAATCTACCATGGGTGACTTGTCATTATAGGGAGGGTGGGTTTTTGTGCGATGCACACAGGCCAAACGGAGCATAAATTGTCTCAGAGTTGGATTGGTAGTCTTCCTCCGGACGCTGCGCTTCCCACGGATGTTAAAAATAGCAAATAGTGTCTATTGATAGACTTTGTGGCGTGCTGAGAATATTAAATCGTGTAACCGAGCAACAGGTCGATGTGATGTCGTGTAATCGAAGAGCAATGTAAAAGAATGAAACCCGAAAATCCAGGCTTTCAAAACAAGTAAAAGCAAGTTTACTTGGTGAGGAGGTTGAGATAATCAGCCACGATGAGGGTCACCATTCTGCAGATCGAGTCAGTGGGGAAAAAGTTGGGGTAAAATAGTGGGGGGGGACTAACGCATGAGGAGCGATCCGGACGTAGTAAGTTCCGAAGCCACGGTAGAAACGCAACCAACCCTCTTCCTTAGCAACTTTGCGTGCACAGTCCAATAGGCCCTTGTACGGAACTAAGCCAGTCTTAGGGTCCTTCTGTTGCTTCTGAAGACGGGTCTTGATGAAATCGAAAGGCAGAGACAAGAAGCTAGCGAAGAATCCAGCAATTCCAGAAGCAGCAAATGTCTGATTCTGAGCGGAGAGAGAAGTGTGTTGCTTAAGCTGCTGCTTAGCCTCAGCGAAGAAAGTCAATTGACCCATGTTGAGGGCCATGGCACGGACAACGGTAGGCGAAGCACCTGCCCACAAGGCAGCGAGTCCCTCGGTGCGGGTGATACGACCGAGAGCATCGAAGACGGAACGGTAGTTCGCGCGAGCCTCGGGGGCTTTGAGGCCGTCAGACTGCATACGCACGAGGGCCAAGTCGGCCGGGTTTCCAATCATGGCTGCGATTCCGCCGGCAGTCAGTCCTGCCGCAGCACGCTCGGCGAAGGTTACTTTTCGGCCTGCCGCTTCGGCGCGGGTATGGAGCTTCTTGGTGAATGTCTCGAAGAATCCCAGACGTGCGGTTGTGTAGACGGCTTGGCGGAGGATACCGGCAGACAAGCCAGTGTAAAGATCAAGGACTTTGCCGGAGGCGATGATGTCGCGGGTAATGCCGAGGGCAGATGGACGAGGACCGGTTCGGGCTCCTTCGCCGGCGAGCTGCAGGCGCACTTTGACCATGTCGACGGGTTGGATCACGGCTGTGGCGGTCATACCGGCCAGTCCACCGTTGAGGAAGGGTAGGGCGGCGCGGGTGTACGGATGGTGCAGGAAGTCGGTAGGAGCTTCGATGGCGGTCTTGGTTGCGTTTTGTGTAGAGACAGCAGCAGTGCTGGCACTCTCCTTAATAGTGGATGCCATGGCGAAGTATTAAGATCCTAGATGTAGGTCAATACAATGCTCGATGTATAGCGGCAGATTGTCTGGAAGAAAGGGAGATGTACTAACAATAAGAAAACTCTTTCAGAAGGTCAGCAGGATCTCCTTGGTGGATTTAGAAGCCACGGGGACGGGTGTTTTGGACCATGGTACTTACCTATGACGTAGTTGCTTTTATATGGAAGATTCAAGGTGTGCATAGAACTGTTGAAGGAGAACAGAGAACAGAAAGCAAAGAGAGATAATATGAGGGGAGACACAAGAAAAGTCACAGGACAGAGAAGGTGCGGGGTGTTATGTTGTTTGTAGAGTTCAGTACTCCGGTACAACTATAAGGGTCAAACCGGGGACAATGGGGGCCTGAGCTTGTCTAATATACTGAACTCTCAATTAATCTACACAACCGCGAACTCATTCCGAACCGGAGATTATTGCTCTACAACCGATTCTCAACCGATGGCTACCCGCGGGCCCCACGCCCAGGGTGTATGGAGACAATATGAAGACGGGAATAATGCCTGGCACTTGCCTGGACAGTTATGGAGCGAAAGTCGCTAGAACTAGCCCTCTCCATCAAGGTTTAAGTGTTGGGCCAATGATATCTACATCATTTCGATTATCAATGCACGAACGTGGACACGTCTGCACGCTATGGAGCTTGTCAAAATGCGGGGGGATAGCTTGACGATCCTGCAGTCCATGAACTTGCCCTTGACATTATACACGTGTCTAAGTCAGAAAAACATCTAGATATCCTAGAGCTGTCTCGAATACCATTGAATACAGAACAGACAGCAGATTACCATTCCTTTGCTTCCTTGATCTCTACAACTACATCAACGCGGCAGATACATGAGTGCCACGAGCTAAATTCGGAATCCCCACCAGCGCTAACCTCTTTTGGGGTGCCCCACGAGAACTTATCGGGATCCCGTTCACACTGACATACCCGACACCGCATATACACCTCTTCTGGACATATCTCGGAGATCGATTAGTATCTGCACTTGCCGTTACAGATGTTCAATGCATAAGCTGTCCAAGAATAGGTCTCAAGCTATTACCAGCACAATCTCCTCGCGGGATATATTCTACGTTGGGCATCAATTCTCTACAAACGCACGGATTAGCCGTATATCGGACTATGAAATAATTGTTGGGAGCCCTGCCAGAGAGGCTAGAATTCAATAGACTGGACTAGCATACATTGGCGGGGTGAGTAAGTCTGATCGGCTATGTTGTATTTCACCTCAGTAATCTTCTCCCGCTTCCCTCGGGCCACGATCCGAACTTGCTCGGACGGCAGTCCAATCGGCCAAGCATCATTTTGCTGACACTGTGGTGGGCCCTCCCTTGCACCATCCCTTGGCCACTGACCAATCTCATGCACTGAGATTCTAAATGATCCCCTTTTTCCTTTGTGGAGCTGCGGCTCTCGCTAGTTGACAGAGCTAGTCCGCATAGATTCCTCCGGTTTGAGCTGGCATCTGGCCTCTTTACGCCGATGACCGGCAATAATTATGTCAGGTAAGCTTTTGAGGTGGATACTCACTCCGTATCTAGTGCTGCATCTACTTCATGGTATTGGTCATTTGTGACGATTACGGATATAAGTTGTCGACTCCTAACATCATTCCAAAAGGAGCGGGCAAGTCGGTAAGAGCTAGCGGAGGATTGTTCTCCGGACACTATCGTCATTTCTTCATTTGGGCATGCGAACCCCTGAATATTCGTCCCGAATAGGGCACGGAGAATCGACGGATTTTATTTTGAGAAGTCAAGTTTTCGAATGAGTGGGGTGGGAAGGCCAGCAAAGCGATGCGAGACTAAACTATGAACGGTGAATACCTAAGACATATCCAAAATTGGATATCACCATTCGATGATAATGTACAGCCCGCCAAGTCCATGTTCGAATCGTTATATCTCTCAAAGTCCGAGGCCCCCGGTGTAATCCAAGTCCGGGACTTCAAAGTACCGCGAAGATGAAACGCCCAACCAAATAACCCATGCGCATAGCCACGGACCTCTCAATGCGCACGAACACATTACTCTATCTGCATCATCTTCCGACTAAAAAATAACTCATATTGGTCTCGGAAACCGCCGTCCAAAACAAACCCATCACTTCCACGTAAACAACACGAACCAGCGCCGTTACTACTATTCCGCCTCAAGTGCCGAATGCTCTCCAAAGTATCTCCCGCGGAATCCACTCCGTGCCTAGCTCGACCCTGAAGAGTTCCCACGCGGAATGTGTCAACCAAACTCAAAGCGCATCACCACTCCCACCCCCCTCCGCGGAAAGGGTTCTCGGCAAGTCGGGAACTCCACCGGCCTCGAGCCTCGATTTGAACCCACGGGCCTGCCGGCATGAGAGTTCGGGATCGCTTCTTAGGTATGGCTTTCTTAGCTAGGGGGTATCACATTCAGGAGCCGGGGACGGGTTGTAGATGCGGGAGTAAGGATTTGTGCTATTTACAAGCTTCATGTACCTATCCTTGACCTCTGACCTCTTACCTCTGCCTACTATATATACCGCTGCAGAGACGAACAGATATTCTGTTTGCTCTTGTGATCTTTTGGCCTAACGGTCAATTGCTCTTATGTAATCCCTTAGGAGTAGCGGCATAAGCGGTGTATAGGATTACAACATCTCACTCGCAGTCTCTACCAACCTGCCAGTCCCTTGATCCTATCTCCTTTCGTTAATTTTTGGCTCCAACTCTTCGACAGTGAGAAATGGCACGGAAGCAACCCATTTATGATATCGGCCCGTTTAAATCAAGTACAAAAAACACAGACACGCAGTTGAATGTTTATGTCTCCAACAAACGCTTTAAAGTCGATCTCTTTACTTCCAGCTTCGAACCCTCGTCTGGTCTCCTAGCTGAATATCTTTGGCACGTTCAACGTCTAGATCCAGAATGGATCCCTGATGAGTCTGAGGTAGATGCTGATGGGGAGTTTGAAGACCCCCTTGATGAAATGCATGATTGGATCTTGCAGCCATTTCTACCAATCTTCTACGAAATTGCTCCCCTAGACCCAAGCCAAAAGTACACTCTCGAGGACTGTCTGTTTGCAGAAGAACTGCATTACACTGTGCAGGTGGTGGGAGACAAGCTAGCTCCTGTGTATCTCAGCAATACCAAGAACATGAAAAACCATCTCATCGGGGCCTGTTTACCATCTTCTGTCGACTACTCGATGTTTCCTATCTATCATCCTAGAGAAGTCCAGGTTCCTATTAGTGCAGATTCAGCTACACTGCCAGGAGTACCTCAAAAAGTATTCATTCATGGGCAACCACAGCCTAGCTTCTTCAAGATAGTCTACGGGGGTAGCTCCATCACAATTGATGTATGATAAAAGTAATCCCATGATATGCCCATCATCATCCTGGACCAGCCCTTCCAGTTGTGATGTAAGAATCGGAGGGTTGAATTTCGCCATGCGAATCTTTGAATAAGTAAGAATTTCTCTTGCGGTAATACCCATGTCACACTCAATTGCATCGATGGACGTGATCCCAGATTTTCCAAGCTCCGACAAAAATGGGTTGATCAAATTTCGCACACACTTTCATTCGCATAATATCATTTGGGGAGATGCGAAGGCAGCCAATGTGCTCATTGATGCCGATGAAGATGCATACCTGATTGGTTTTGGAGGAGGTTATACTGATGGTTGGGTTGAGAAGGAGAAGTCTAACTCGACCGAGGGAGATCTCCAGGGACTTGCAAATATCAAGCGGTACCTTTTTGAATGAATACCAGAGGACTATCCTTGTTGATTTACGTTTTACACTAAAAGAGCTATGCATACCCTTCGTGTTCAAGCAAATGAATTCTGCAAAATAAGATAGCTAAGAAATCATTCAGAGTCCAATCACTGCAGGGACAGAGCGATCAGAAATAGAAAGCATTCTCCTTTTCCTTGGGCTTCCTATCTTTCCACAGCTTTTTAGCGTCTTTCGGTTCATACGTCATTTCAAGGTTCCTGCTGGGGTCTGTGATGACAAGCAATACCCGTCGCAAATTTGCTTACAGTCAACTGAAGGCTACCGAAGACGTCCTTGGTATGATAATGCAAGGCTTGAACGGGACGAAGCTCAAGAAGTGATACTTGAATAGAGTCAGATGTGATGGCCCAAAGAAGGAACTACAGTAAACTAAGACTACAGAAATATATTTTACATATAAAAATATCGCGACACGGCTTATCTTCAAACAGCATCATGCTTCGGCCTCAAATCCTCACAGGCAATCTTTCCATAAATCAGAATTATATAAGTGAATACGCAGTCCGGGCTGACGGCGACTAGCATAATAGAATGTCTGTCATTGGACTACTTATAGTCCACAAAGGTGGCTTTGTTGATAGTGTAAAATCTTTTATACCCATGAATCTACTAGAATTCTTAAATGGTTAAATATCTCCTATCCTCGTTCGAACATAATGTACATATATATTCATAGAATTTACTTAATAAGGTTAGTGTGAGAGGAGTCCCTGAGCGATATATAATTATGATTTGATATTTATTTACTCATTAACTTACCCCATTTGCCTTGTCCATTTGAGGGGGAAAGATCTTGATTATAAGGAGCATTGTCCATATATTCATGTCTTACCGTTGAGAAAGGTGCATACTAATCGCTAGCTGAAATTCTCGTTCTTGTCATTTTAGTTGGAGAGTTACGAAAAGGAAATCAAGTCAGTCTGAAAACGTATGATTGCATTGACTATCATGTAAGAAATTGCTTCGTTAAAATATCACTACAAAACTCCATTCAGCCAGTCAGATAGATGGCGAAAAAATCAAAAAAGCACCCAAATCGGGGGGAGATCAAAGCATATCCATCGCTTGTCCCGATACAAGCGGCAGACGTCGGCGAGAGGATCCAAAGATCATCACCAAAAAAAAGCAGCACGCCATGCAAATGACTTATTCATCCTGTTTGGGAGAACAAGAAACAAGGAGAAAAAGAAATTTTTAACCATCGCTCGAACCCTCTAAACCTGGGGAGCAGCGGCGATGACCTCGGGGGTAGCCTCGTCGGAGTACTTCTTGAAGTTCTCGTTGAAGAGGACAGCAAGCTTGGTGACCTCATCCTTGAAGGAAGTGGAGGCGGTCCAGCTCTTCTCGGGGTTGAGGAGCTCGCTGGGGACACCGGCGCAAGAGGTGGGGACGGGCAGGTTGAAGGTAGCGTAGGTCTCGTACTCGGCCTTGGCGAGCTCGCCGTTGTGGATAGAGTCCAGGATGGCACGGGTGTACTTGAGAGGGCAACGCTTGCCGCCGGTGGTGGCACCGGCGCCAACCCAGCCGGTGTTAAGGAGCCAGGCGTTGACCTTGTGCTGCTTCATCTTCTCGGCCAACATGTGGGCGTAGCGCATGGGGTGAAGAGCCAGGAAGGGCTGAGCGAAGCAAGTCGAGAAAGTAGCCTGGGGCTCGGTGATACCGTCCTCAGTACCGGCCATCTTGGAGGTGTAACCGGAGATGAAGTGGAACATGGTCTGCTCGGGGGTGAGCTTGGAGATAGGGGGCAGGACACCGCGGGCATCACAGGTGAGCAGAATGATGTTGGTGGGGTGGCTGTCGGTCACGCAGGGAATCTTGGCGTTCTCGATGTACTCAATGGGGTAGGCGCAACGGGTGTTCTCGGTAAGGGTGGCATCATCGTAGTCGACCACACGGGAGACGGGGTCGAAAACGGTGTTCTCGAGGACGGAACCGAAGCGGATGGCGTTGAAAATATCGGGCTCCTTCTCGGCGGAGAGACCAATGCACTTAGCGTAGCAGCCACCCTCAATGTTGAAGACACCAGTGTCGGTCCAGCAGTGCTCGTCGTCACCAATCAGCTTGCGCTTGGGGTCAGCGGACAAGGTGGTCTTGCCGGTACCGGACAGACCGAAGAAGACGGTAACATCACCGCTCTCACCCTCGTTGGCAGAGGAGTGAAGAGTCAGGACGTTGTGCTTGACAGGCATCTCGTAGTAGAGAACGGTGAAGACACCCTTCTTCATCTCACCAGCGTACTCGGTACCAAGGATAACCATCTCCTTGTCGGCGAAGTTAATGGCCACGGAGGTAGCGGAGGTCATACCCTCAGTGAAGCGGTTGGCGGGGAAAGAGCCAGCGTTGTAGATGACATAGTCGGGGTGGAAGTGGTCGAGCTCCTCACGCTTGGGGCGGATCAGCATGTTGCGCATGAAGAGAGCGTGGTAAGCACGAGCGCAGACAACGCGAACGCTGATGCGGTAGCGCTCATCCCAGCCGGCGTAACCATCAATGACATAGATGCGGTTACGGGTGTTCAGGTAGTCGACAGCACGCTCACGGTTGATACGCCAGACCTATAGGGGGGTAATGTTAGCCACCAGCCTTATGATTGACGTCATGCACGTGATAGCCTCGGACCAAAGGCGGGGATTGCGGAGCCTCAACTGAAAGCCGAGGGGCAAATTGGGGGGCAAAAAAGGGCAAAGAAATGGGCAAAAGGAAGATGTCACAAGACGAGAGGGAATGAGGTATATTTCGGCAGAGACGGCATTCCAATGGGTTGCACAAAGTCCTGCGCCGAAAAGCTTGACCTCCCGATGCATATGCAAGGGATCCAAGTGGATCTCATGGATGCCATCTGCAAGGGTGTATGCTCCAACATCGACAATGAAATATCCAGTAAATCGCGCAGTAAATCGCGCATAAAGAATAAAAAAAAGGCGACTTACATCAAGTGTCATGGGCTTGTTTACGGGTCCCCACCAGATATCGCCTTCTGAGGAAGATTCTTGGACGATACGCTTGTCGGAGGGGGAACGGCCAGTCTTAGCACCAGAGTATGCGCTCAAAGCACCGCTTGATGTGACAGCAGTACCGGTCTCATAGACAAGAGCATCTTCGTAAAGGGCAGGAACAGCGGGGTTGGCAATCTAGATCATGTTAGGCAATGAAGCAAGAAAAGAAGAGGCATAGACATTGTGATAAAATGTCAAGCGTAAGGGTGGTGAGGTCTTACAATAGAGACTCGGTCGTAGTCAATGTGAGCAGTCTCGTGAAGCTCCTCCTCAAGCTCGGTGTGACCCTTGCTAGGCCTAAGTGAAGACAGTTAGAGACGATGAGGCAAGGACAGTGAGGTAGGAAGGTAACATACTGAACACCACCAGGGTGCAGAGCAGTGCGATTAACAGATGTGGCAACCATTGTTCTGAGTGAAGTAGAATGATAGTTATTGTTGCGTTGTTTCGCGATTTGTTGTTGAATGAAATCTGAAGCCAGAGGACCGAGAGAATCGGAGCGGTCGAGGGGTATATAATCTTTTCCAGCGGAGGCCATAGTCACGATCGGTCTTGGTATGAAGGAGGTTCTCGTGCACTTTCGGTAGTGTTTCTCCACAGTTCCACGGGTGATGTCGGGGCTGAACGCCGAGCTGAAGTGGACACGCGGTTGGTGATGGGATGAAGCACTGTGGGTTGCAAATACCTCGAGGCGCAGTCCGAGTTGACCCGAATGGTTCAAATGGACACGAACTTGATTCGGAACGAGGGGGCTCTATGTCCGAGTAGGTGAAGAGCGATGGGAGGCCTAGAATCAAAAATAACTCATTGATTTTTTTGAGTAGTTTACAAGGAGAAGTTGATCAGTCCAGTTCATGGATTCTTTTATGCTTGCTCTGACGGTTGCGGCAAACGCCCAGTCTACCTAGGTTTACTCTACAATTTCGTCAAATCATCTGAATATTTGTTTCTTGGATCTTGTGAAAATGAGTTTTATTTCTCTCAAAATCTAGGACATCCTGTCAGCCACGACAGAAATGACGCACAATGACTTCATGAAATCGATATAGTTCTAAAAATGTCATAGTCTGGCCCAGGCAGAATCGCGGGGAGCTGACATAATCTCGTCGATCAACCCCTTGACCCTTCAACATTTCATATTTCTCCTGTTTTCGGCATCAACCCGAACTGATATCGGAATGTGTTGCCTGTGGAAAAACAAAAAGGAATGAAAATCTCTCTTTCAACCCGGATGACGATAGGTTCGGCTGCAAAGTCGGAACGACTTGTCTGGGAGTAGGATTCAGGAGCAAATAACGGCGTTTAACCAGCCGAGGATGATGCACATGCATCCATCGATCGCGGCGGCGGGGACCAATCAAGATCCCTACATATCCACTTTCTAGGATGGTCGGGTGGGGAGAAGATATTGCCGCTGGGTCCTAGGCCCTATTTTTACTGGTTTTTGCTGAACGACGATAATTGCTCGTTGTGGTTGTGCAATAGGATCAACCACAAACTCCGAGTAGTACCTAGGTCTCCATACTCCAAATCCAAGCTTAGGGGAGAAACCCATGCACATTACGTCCCAACGCCGAAAAATATGGCCTAGACCATGAACTTTGAACAATGACTCCTATATAATATCGCAAATGAGCGGTCTGCTATGATTTTGTGAGTTTCTATCGGTCGCCGTCGCCGTCGCCTCTCGGGATGTCTAGTCCTACAGGTGTGGCTTGTGCAATACAGTCAACCCCAGATCCTTCTCCCCGTTAGCGGTGGATCCCGAACCGGCTACGGCCTCGGGAACGCGAGATTTTTTCATTTTTTCATTTGTTTTTCCCGTCAAATTTCACCCGGTGCCATTCTTCGTGAAACAATTAGTTATTTTTGCGCGATTTGTTTCATCTTACGTAGTGACCTCTCTTTTTTAATCCCTGCTGATCATTTTAATTTTTCCTTGCGTGTGACACGAATACCAGAACTATGTATGGAGTAACAAATTTGAGGCTTTTTTATTCACACCCTGAAGGAGTAAGGACTGGTGGAGAAAGGGGTTCCCCCTGTCTCCTCCACCAAACGGAATATGTAGATATACAACATAGACATAGCCGTGATCTTCAGTCATTGAATCTATTCACGCATTCCGGGAACTTGCTTTGCCCTTTTTCGTCCACACCCGTCGCGTTTTCTTCTTGATGTCGATTATCCGGATCAACGTTCACCAACTTTAACTAGCACGTAACTAGTAGATTCTCGGTCCTTGATATCAATCACAGCCAATCATTTCTGAAACTTAGCTTCCTAATTTACCCGTTGTGATATGTTCCTTGTCTTTCATTCGAGTTTTACTATCTGAAATATCTGCCCAACCAGCGCCAGTTGTTTGAATATGGCCTGGGCCGATTTGAAGGGGGACAAAGATTTACTTGTCTCCTAATTCTCCCGAAACTGACTCTAGCAGCTGCACGTCATTGTTGATATGGTTACTTCATTTTACAGATCACAAAAATAAGTTCAACTAGAATATGCGACGAGCCTAAGAAATTACAATACCTAATCTCATTCCCAATCTCATGACTTGTCACATTGGGCAGTATTGCTCCGGCCTTTGTACATTTCGGTCGACGCGCACTTCTTGGCGTCTTGGCTTTTATCTGGGGAAATTGTCGCGTGGTCTTCATCCTAGCTCGAACTGCGGATGCGGGGTATAGTTTAACGAGCTACCAGTTAAAAGGCACAGAGGATTAGCCCGTGACCTGCCGCGGTGATTTTCATCAAATGATGTATTTGAAGATCTGAATTGCAATTTGGTCTGCCTTGACTGTGGATTAACAGTTGCCACATCCTAGTGCGTTTTTCCAAAGTCGCCACTAGCATTGGCAACTGAATCTGTCGGCAATACGAATTAGGAAGGTAAGAATCACAGCATGCATTGACAGAATGCATGGAACTCCCGAGATACTTTTGTTATTATTGTATGTTGTAGTATCTAACATCCGGCGAGTCCATAGGGGTGGCACAAAAAAATTGTGCCCTCGTCCAGGATCGAACTGGAGACCTTCGGATATCAATCTTGTTACCAAGAATGTCATATGGAAAATATATGAGACCAACGTCATGACCAAACTAGACCACGAAGGCTGTCGACCGGTTGTCGGGTAGACTACTCGGACCGAATATGTCCAACAGTGCAAGATTTGCCGACAAGTTGAAGTGAAAGATGAGGTTAGGGGTTGATGACACCAAAAGCATCGTTCATTGTAAAATACTTCAGATTTTGGAATTGAAATTCCACTTTTCACTGATAGATGTAATATTCCCATGAATGTCTGAGTCGTTTCTCATCCACCATGGTTCAAGCTTTTTCCGGAAACAGACGCCAACTATTTTCCTCCTAGTCGCATCGCGTTAAAAAATCGGATGTTTTGCTGTGACTTTGCGCGAGCTCGTGAAATACCCCCTAACAGCCAGTAAATACCAACGCTGTGTATCACAGTTGATGCAATAGCCGATGAACTCCATCGCCGCATCAAGTGACCGAATACCCGTTTGTGAGGATACCTTCGCCCCTAGACAACAGCGCTTCAACAGAGGAGAAGTGTACTCTCGCAACATGTGCCTAATGACAAGCTTCTCATGACTGACAGAAGCTTTGAAAAACTGTGACCCTCTAAGGAGCAGATACTTCATAGATTTGATATCCCGAAGGGTCTCCATGATCATGGATTTTGAAGATGGTATAGCTCAGCATAGATAAAATTTCCAAGGCTTACCTTATCTTCTGAGATAGACATGGAAGGAACAGAAGGCAAGGCAAAGGCAGAGAAAGAGAAAAGAAACAAAAATGGAAGGTGAGGAGGGTACAAATACGGAGTTGGGCAGGAATTATAAAGGTCGTTAAGGGGGATGGTCTACACCATTATACCGTTTGTCATACTTCTACGGGCTGAGCAGCAGCACATTGATCGAAAGGGTATCATTAAGAACATTAGTCCTCTCGGTATGCTTTGTAGGCGGTCCAGCTGAGACCGGGGCCTCGGGGATTTGAAGTACGAAGAAATTCACTCAAATGTTATATATATCGAGTTTACCATACCAGGATTGACTAAGATACAATTTTCAATCAGCACACACTCTACAATCCCCACCAATTCGTTATATGTCACCGTTGTTCGTGAACTTATCGATACCGGAGTAGAGTATGATGATATCCCATTTCATTCAGATAAGCATTGATTATTTACCTTATTTACCTGATGCTGATATGCAGAAATCTCAGATCAGTTATTATATTATTAGATTATTGGGGTTTGAGATCGAGAAGTTCTAGTAGTATTTTGCTCCGAAAGTATGCCCGTCTAACATTTTAAATATCTTCAAACTCTAAGCATCAACCACAAACCAGAGAAAGCACTCTAGTACAAGATAAACTCATTACTAGTAGCTCCAGCTTCGACCCACCCACCGAGCAATTTCCGTGCAACTCCCGCAACAAGTTGGTGGTAGTTAGGTGGTGGAACCGCACCAGGAGGAGGCTTACGGCTTGGGTCGCCAGCGATCCACACAACTGGATCTTGCGAGATACTAGCAACATTCTCACGCAATGCCTCAATATCCTCTAGGTCAAATCCACGACCAAAGATAATTGCACGCACAGCCCGGCTGTAGTCTTTCGTGCCGACGTCGTTGATGTGGGGGGATTGAGGATCTCGGCCTGCGAGGAGGTGAGGAATTTCGGATTGTGCTGCGGAGAGGCTTTGGATGAAATGGGTCACTAGTGGGTATTAACAAGCCTGCTACCAAATAATTTGGGTTCTGTCGAAATGAGGAATTATTTATGCTCTACTAACCTTCAAATTCGGGGAGGAGGAGCTCGGAGACTGGCTTGCCGATCCCGGAGTCTAGGGCACAGATGACAATTGGCAGAGGGGAGGACATTGTGAAGATGTGAAGGATGATTGAGATAATATGTTTCCTTTTTTGTTTGATGCGATGGATATTCGAATTGGGAAACCTATAAAACGACCAGACATCGTCTGTATTTATCTCGAAGCTCGGAGTCCGACATACTCGATGCGGCTCGGGAACGGAGACTAAACAGCCCTGGAGTCCCCACAGTGTCAGTTTTTGGCCTAGCGGTATCTACATTTTGGGACTGTTGGAATCATTTGGAATTTATGATTTAGAGATTTATGATAATTTTGAGATTCAAGGTGACTGCCTAATAGTGTAGATAAATTAGGTTATACTTCTAAGCTTTGCTCCATCCAGCCCTGGAGGTGGGCCAGATGGGTTACTTGGCAAACTGTCTAGACGTCATACACCAATCACCTCTGGTGATATTCACACTTTACTGCGACAGTTCGCTTTTGATAACATTTAAACTATGCGTTACAAAATCCCCCTTTACTGGTTAGGTAACAGTGACAGGGATTACCGGGCACCTGAATCAAGGTCTAGTGGCTAGTAACTCACCTCATTCGTCCACATAAACGTCACATATCATCAATATTTCGGCCATTCCTACAAAAGAAAGACTCCATCGCAGTAAAATATGGCATCTACTCCACCCCCTCCATCCCGGTCCGCCCTCAGCAATAAGGCCCACCGATACCGCATGCTCTCAAGCCTCCTCTCCCTACTGGACCGATACCTCTCCTGGCCACTCCCCCCAGGACCAAGCGTCGAAATCGCCATTCCCTCAAAAGTCAGCATATGCCCGGGATCATCCCAACTATACTTCTTCACCTCACCCTCAAAACCCCTCTGTCCCCGCAAGCACGCCAACCCATGCCCGCCCCGCCCCGTCCTTATCAACTTCCACGGCGGCGGCTTCTCAATCGGCCACGCTCTCGACGATGCCCGCTGGGCAGGTACCGTACTGAAAGCCTGCCCAGATGCGGTAGTAGTAAGCGTTGACTACCGCCTAGCCCCAGAGCAACCCTTCCCCGTCGGGCTAGAGGACGGCGTCAATGCTATACTATGGCTATGGCAAGAAGCGGAGAAGCTCAATCTTGACAAAACGCGCTTCGCGCTCAGCGGATTTAGCGCAGGTGGAAACCTCGCTCTAGCAGTACCATTCCGACTGCACGAGGAACTACAGAAAAAGCGCTGGACATCGATAGGCGGGGAGATATCGTTGGCTGGATTGGTGGTATTTTACCCTAGTACAGACTGGACGCGAACGCGGAAAGAGCGTGATGCGACAAATCCGATTGCCGCGGAAAAAACTATGATCTCCCCTTCTATGTATAAGTTCTTTGACGATTCATACCTTCTCCCTACAGCTCTGCCGAAACGGCCGGATACAGGTCGGACGGATATGTCGCACCCTTATCTTTCCCCTGGGCTGGCGTCTGCGTCTCTGTTGCATGCGAGCTACCCGCCTGCGGTGGCGATTTATACTTGTGGATGGGATCAGTTGCTTGTTGAGGGGAACACATTCCGGGAACGGCTTAGTGGGTTTGTTGAGGAAGGGAAGATGACGAGTGTAGGCGGGTTTGTCGTTGAGAATGTTATTCATGGATTTGATAAGAAGCCCTCTTTTTGGAGGAAGAACCAAATGCGTGAGAGGATGTACGGGGATGCTATTAGCCAGTTGAAGGTGATATGGAAGATGAAATGAGGTGATTTTGGAGCTTAGGATCCGAAGACACCTGGTACAGATAATACATTGGTATAATAATAAAGCTACCCGCGCGGAGTTTAGGCTACTTTTGCGAATTCTTCTCTATGCTCTCGCATTTCTTGGACTCCCAGCGCCCCAAGACGATATCCTATGACAGGCTAGGGCCATTTACTGCTAAGATATTGTGCGTGATAACTTGTTACATCCTATATTTTACCCTTTCAGACCAGGATCTCACCACACTCCAGTGCCTCGGATCTCCTGATGATCCGCGGGATCTGTAGTGTTGACCACTGAAAGAGCTCCAAGTGTGAAGTACTCGTCAAGTCTCTTTGAGAGCTCGCACTTCCCACCTTGCCGTTTCCAATCATCCATCCATTTCAAGGAAATCACTAATCCGCTCGCACGCTGGAATGTGACAGCTTCAGCTATTTTGTAAAGCGCCGTTCGAGTCACGTCATGACCAGGAAGTAGTGAGGTAACATCCCCAAGACACAATATGCCCTTGTTCTCACATCGCTCAATTTTGTTTCCATATTCGAGTAATTGCACGATAAAGTACTTGGCCAGCCCCATGAGTGGCTTCGAGCTAGACTACACCGAGAAAGTGTGTGGGATAGGTCAGGGTACGGCTTCAAGCAGTCTAGGTGGGTAGTCGGGGCAGAAAGGCCAGCTCTGTTGGTGTGCTTCTGGTACATTCTCCGCCATTGTATATTCTTCTGCGGCGCAAGGCGCACGCCAAAATTGAATGTCAAATGAATTACCCGGTGACTAGGTCCCGGCCAAGTTTTTGTGAGTGTATAAACTTAATTGTTCAATGACCTGCACGAGATCTGCGACCAGTTGAGGTCCTTTGTTCTTCTCCTTGGTTTTCCCAGGTCCTTCGGAATTGTGAGACAAAGATGGAGGCTCCATGTTGTCAACGAAATGAAATGGAGCAAAGGAAGGGTATGTGTAACAGAAGCAAATAAAAAAGGGGTGTGAGGTGAGCGAGTGAGAGAATGATATATGAGCAAGCTAAAGAACAATAGACCGAAACTAGAGTGACAAAGATCAATAGGTAAGCTGGCAGAATAATGTTAACTGAAAGAAGTGAGAGGCTGAGATGCTCATCTCGCCTTCTACACACCTTCCCTGGGCTCAAACGATGTCACCTCACATGATCCCATAAACTACTTTACAAATAATGGCCTATGTTCTATATCTTGCTGATTATTCTTACCCTTCTTACACCAATAAAGGGGGTCTACTCAAAAAAGACAATTGTACCCTTCTTTCCTCATCAGATACTTCAATAGAATCTTTCTTATTCTTTTCCCTCGGAGCCTCCATCTTCTTCTCATTTTCAATTCAAAAAGCTCATACCCAGCTGACCGCTGTACAACCCGCCAAGCTCATCCAGGAGTACAGCCTATTCCTACATGGATATCCCCATGAGGAACGAAAGATATGCCTGATCCAAGAGCTCCTACACAGCGATGAACTTTCCACTGTAACTGTGGTTAGCACGGCGAGAATGATCGACCAATTTCTGATAGAAGCAAATAGGGCTTCTGAGATGGCTAAGAGAACCTCTGCCCTCCTTCTCATCCTTATCTTTTGCCGCAGACTCGCAAAGTTTCATTTGCTTTCGGGCGATGGGAAAAAGCACGAGGGTCTGAGCATCGTGAGACTTGATGTGCTTGAGCTCGGCGTACATGTCACCCTCATTACTACGGCATGTCACTCTGTTGGCTGGGTCACAAGCCCAGGTTCCAACCACACTCCTGAAGGAGTTCCATGAGCAGCGTGCCTGGGAAGACGAGCGTGGCCGAAAGTGGGTGAAGACTATTGGCAGATGAGCTCTTCAAATCGGTCAACCAAGGAAGCGATGCAGAGATTCCAAGATATCATGATGATGCACTTCTTCTAAAAGCGCATTAATCTGAGACATCTGAAATCTGTGTTGGACACCATACCATACATGTCTTCAAATGGATGCGACGGGATTGGGAAATGGAAAAGGTTTCCATGTGGCCAAATCCCAGGTCCTACATCGAGGAACTGTATCGGCTACCAGCGTGACTGCTCAGAAAGACCGACTAAACAAGAATGACTACCAGGTGCCTCTATCTGGTGACGTTGATTCTCAAGGAAAATATCTGGGTGAAGTGTATCAGGGGCCTTGACATGATGACCAATGGCGTCTAATTTCACAAAGCCTCGCCCGCCGGAGACTTAGACGACGACATGAAGGATACTCTCTTGGCCCACCAGCTGGAATTATTGATGTCGATATTCATGCAACAGATCAACATAATAAATGAGATAAGAGACCAAACCTTAGCCGATCGTGGCTACACGTTGATCTCTACTCAGATAACTCGAGAGTGGTAGACATTGAGCTCATACCAAGACGGATGGTTTGGGATACAAGTCTGGGAGCGAGACGCCGTTGCTGCTGAGTTGGAATGACGCAAAGAAGGGCAGTCAAACTCACTAGTCTGGACGTACAACCTCCAGAACTATGTACACGTCCCACACACCTTCAAAGTTGCTCCACCTAGCTCGCAAATATTCCTCTGGAATCGATCTTCGTTTTATTTGCTTCCAAATCCTTTTATTATCGAGGGCGCAGCTCAAGTTTTGATGTGCGCACTATACATACAACATATACCATTACTGGGTGCTTTTGTTAGATTACTTCGCATCGCTAGATTCTTGGAGCTATAGAACAAACACGCCTAGGCGAAGTTGGTTGATTCTTTGAGGTACTTATTAGTTATTTCTTTTTACTGCGATAGCCTATCTGTGTAAGATTTTAGGAATATGAAATCATGTGTTGTGTACAATAAAGTGACTCTGAGCGGGGCACCAGTCAGGCGGGGTAGAAAAGTCAGCAATTTTCTCGCCCAACGAGGTTTACTTCATTTCTTCCACATCTCGAATATTATTCCTTAAGCAATAAATTACTCAGATCAAGGTATGCAAGGATTGTGCCTTATTTATATCTGTCGTGAGGACCTTGGTGGTTGCTAACTCTCTGTAAGATCTACTTCATCTACTATCAACAATGAACGGACACGCTTCCTGCCCCAAGTGCGGTGCCGCCGCTGACGGCGCTGGCAAGAGCTGTGGCGCCTGCGGTGCTGTATGTACATTATTCAGTACTTTTTTGCAAGCTTGTGCTAACCGTACTAGACCTGCCCCGTTTAAATCCCTCGAGTTTTTTGAATGAAGGGCACCGGAGTTGGGACTTGAGGTGTAGTGATGGCATCAGAACGAGCCAGGATAGGACTTGGATATCAATACCTATGTTCATAGGTAGCAATGAGATGATGGCAATGAAGAATGAACACAAATCTATCCGAAACCAAGTGCGATTTGTTATGTACGGAAACAAAAGAAACGACGTGAAGACATTTCCCTAGAATGAAAAAAAAGATAGAAGACTGTTCACAGGCGAGAAACAACCATCAGGATATAGAGTGCGCAATAATAATACCTCCTCGTCTCGTTTTCCCCCTTCTCGGGCCACCAACTAGGCCCGGGACCCCAACCTCCCACTTCATCGCTGACCAGCTATACACCGCTTAGACGGGTACAGCGGTCTTGCGCCACTGGGACCAAACACCGATCAAACTGCTGACGGTACCTGCGATACCGACGAGGCCATCGTCGAGGTTAACGATACCAACGGCAGACAAGGGCGCAGCCAGATCGCAAACATCAGAGAGGAGCTGTATCCGAGCAGCAGAGCGCTCCCTAATAAAAGCATTAGCACTCCATCCATTCCTCATTCGGGTAGTAAATAGGAACTCATACTTCTCAATCTTCTTAGCCTCAACAACACCCTCACCCTCCTTACGGTCAATAGTCTTCTCCTTCTCCTGAAGACGGACAAGAGTGTAGATACCCGCCACAGCACTGAAGATCAAACCAGCGCCCCAGGAGCGGTAAGCGGACTTCTGCAGCTGCTTAGCGGAAGACAGTTTCCGAATACCAATCACATCGATGACTGTGATGGCGTCGAGAGTCAGGTATCCAGCATAACCGAGCTGGCGGCCGATGGCCAGGTACCGCAGGACCGGGTCGACGGGGTTCTTGTTATCGAAAGCGACGGCAGCGGCCTTGAGATGCTCGAGGAATTTGCCGATACGCATAATCTTTCGGGTCGTGCCGAATTGCTTCTTCACGGCATTGTACGGGTCGATCGCCGACTGCGGCTTGTTCGTCCGGTATAGGTACCACGCGTAGAAGCGGGAAAAGTATTGGATTGTGCGGAGGAGCTTATCGCGACCGACTATTTGCGTAGATGGTTAGCTTGAGCACTAACTCGGGTGAGGGCGGGGAGAGCTCCGACGGGCTTCTCGGCCGAACTCCCGAACAGATAAGGGGGTTTGGTGTTGGGAGTTTCGGCATGGTCGCGATGCGATATAGGAGTGATTTTTTTTTCCGTGGACGCATAGAAGTACAAGGATGTTGCTTTTTGGAACTCTGGGGAAGTTATCACGTACCAGTTGTCGCGACGAAGCGCAGCCAGTGCGCCAGCGCAGGGTGGTAGATGAGAGTGTTAGCGACCATTTTTTTTGGTGTTGCTAATGGATATGAAGAAAATGCAACTTCGAACACCTGAGGATGGAGATGTTAGGAATCAAATGTGATAGTTCATAAGGAAAAAGGGAGAGTCGGTAATTGACCGGCGTATGGAGCCGGAGGACCGACCTCGGCTGATCTCGTGCGTGTGGGGAGAGATCCGGAGGCTACTGTGTAATGGTATTTACGATTATTACAACATTCATGGTATTTGATCCCCTCTTCTGCCGAAATCCCTTGAAATCCCTGGAAATGCTTGATTTCAGTATCCGCCATCCACTCGGCTTGTCACTCTCTTCTGTTTTTTCACGTGAGTCTGTGTCGTCTCATTCTCCCGACATTACGTCGAAGACATAATCTCTTGTTATTTCCTTTTTTATGCTCGGCATTGTTGAGATCATTCTCTCAGGCCTTGTATAGAGTGTTAATCTAGTCCCAATTTCATCCGGGCAGACCGTCAACACTATCCACAATGAATCGCGTCAACATTGGCACAAGTACTCTGGTTTATATATACTTGGGGTTTTCCAAATCCCACCCTATGCCAAGCAAATGGATTCCTTTTCACATGCTCTCTCGGACACCGTATTTATAATCCCCCCCAACAGACCTCCTTTATGCCATATAGTGCAGACTAGTCCAGGGCCAGACAGCATTCACCTCACCAGTGTCACTTTTGCGAGATCAACCCAACACTCCTCAAACACTCCTCGAACACATTGTATGATCTATTCCGGTAAATGTTCGCGTGGGGTCTGGCGAGGTGTTGAGGAGTCTAAGCTTAAGTAGTAACATTGTAGCCTTGACGATAGTTGTTGTCAGCATTGCTCTGTCGCCGAAGAGAGAATGCAAGGGGTCATTCGTTGTTGTTCTTTTCTACCACCCCCCCTCGTCTCCGAGGCGAGAGACATCCAATGAATTTAGCTCATGTGCGGCTAGTAGTGGGGTGTCGGTCGTTAGGTTGAGAGATTTGTGAGCGTTACTTAGCGTGGTGCGTCCGGCGATGAGAATGGCGACTATAAATATAAGAAAAAGGTATGAGAATAATCATCCGTCGAGTAAGCGCCGCACTTTCTCCTTAAGCTGTTACCTTTAGCCCCCGATAGCATTCCAAAATCTCGACCAATAGAAATCCATCACCAACAATCTCATGCAAATATTCCTAGTCATCAAGTGCATTTCGGTGCTTGTCATGGGAGAGAGCACAAAACGCGGATATAACCTACATGATGTGCAGTGTTCATTACGAGCACAAATAGCTTACAAACGCAGGGCGATTTTGCAAGCTACTATACACTGCCTCCAGCCTAGGTATAAACGCAGATCAATGATGGCAAGTCCGCGGCTCAAATTTGGACATCATTTAGGGCTGTCTGGTCAGACTTCATTGCTACAAAACCATTCGGTGCGCCCGCTGATCGCTTTTCGCGCACGCGCACGGGGTATCCATACACCGCGGAAGCTCATTGGGGCCACGACACGACCTGAGCTGTGCATGCATGCATCGCCACAATTTCTACCTTGAAATGCTTCTGCTTTCGAATTCTCCCGAATCTTCTTCTCCTGAATCTTCTTCTCTCGTTCATCACAGCGACCAGAACGATGTCCGATCCCCTTTCTATCGCCGGATCCGCGGTGGGAATCATCTCCCTAGGTCTGCAGGTCTGCGGTGAAATTGTCTCTTACTGTCAAGATTGGCATAGCTTTGACGAGGATATTCAGAGAATTCATGAAAAGGCAGATGGACTTCGCATGCCACTAAAGGGGTTACAAAGGATTATAGAGTATGCCCAAAGAGCCAACCACGCTGATGCAAGTGACCTCGAAGCAAAGGCCCAGAGCCTCCAACAAGCAATCACGAGGCTCAAATCGGCAACAGATCGATGTGCATCTACGGGTTCAATCACATCCAATGGCTTTCGCTATCAACTTCAAAAAGCTAAATATCCATTTAAGAAGTATGGATTGCGCGACATATCCAATGACTTGGATAGTGTCCAATCGATACTAAATACCACTCTGCAAATGTAAGCTTAAGGCCTTTCCAGGGCTTTTGATCCGTCCAGAACTAACAAGTCTTCAGCTACTCCATAGAAAGTCTTCAAGCTATTCACGAGACAATCAGTAAACAGATGCAAGATATTGTATGTTGATCAAGGTCCAATATTTGCCTATGATATTAATGCATCTCAACATCCAAAGGTCAAAGGCCAGCCCATACCAGTCATGGCCCCGAGCCAACTTCGACAACTGTGTGACCAACGCAGTATACAGCAGGCAATAGAACCATGCTTACATATCACAGCACAAAACAACCCCTCAAATGGTATGAGTTCCTTCACCATATAATCCATGATTCATGTCGCTCACATTGGGATGACTAGAGCTAACTTCTGCCCCATCGATGGCCCCCCAAGTTTATGACGGACCAGACTGTATCTACAGATCGCGTCCATGTTTCCCCTCGAAGAGCAAATCCAAATCCTCCAAAGAATACCGGTACTCTATGTCTTTGCTGGGTTTCATTTTCCGAGCATCGTTTACTTTTAACAAAGGGGCTGGAGGGGTTTCTATTGCACCACTACTGCATATACAGCCTCTTTTGGATATGGAGACTAGTGTGGGATATAAGATCATAATCAGGCTCTATCGTCAGAACCATACCATCACAAATAATAGTGACTTTGAGCAATCCATCGATTTGACCATAAGACAATTGCAAGAAGCATTTGATCAGCGAGAGGCGTCTCCACTTGATATGTTCAAGTATGAACAATCGATATTTGACGTAAGTCTCTGTTCGTGCCAAAATATAGCCGCTGACACTCGAATAGATAGCTATGATGTTGCTTATACCTAGAGCCACACATGATACGACACGGTGCAGTCATTTATCCCGGCTTTTGACATTCCTCCTCGACTGTGAGTGTAGGCTACAGGAAAGACATGGTCGAAGAATGAATATATTGGATTTGGGACCAATCACCAATTTCGGGCAAAAAGGCTCACTAGGTACCCGCTTATTAGAGCTTGGTTATATCTTTACACTTGGAAACCCCCAGTCACTAACCGAGAAAAGAGAATTACGGTACATTTTATCTCAACATGGTGACTGTACGCGCTTTTTCGATCCCAAAAACTTTTAATCCATCTTATAATACTAACCTCCTACCAAGTGATTTCCATTCCTGATATTGCAAGGATAATCATCCTAGAGTCAGAAGGCGAGCTTCAAGACATCATTGAATCAGAGCAAGTTTTACCCAACCACGGGGGATATTTTTGGTCTTTACTTGGACTTTCATTTGGTTGGCCACAAGGGTTGCGAATTCTACTACGAGCAGGTGCGGACGCTTCTAGAGAGCACATTCTATTTACCCAAGATACTCCGCAGGGTGAGACCTATGAGTCGATCAAGCTGATGCTTGAAGCCGGATGTCGCTTTTACTTTCATACAATCGAGGAATGCCAGGAGCTGGAAGACGGGATCAGAATTCGATTGCTTCTCATCCATGAGATGGCTACTCGAATAAGAAAATTGTGGGATCTCGCTCAGTTCCTCTTGCCATTAAGCCAGCTTCCCAATATGATTACATATGAAACGGCCACCGACAAGAGTTATATCTTTGATCTTCATGTCATCGAAACGCGCGCCAAATTGGAAGCCCAGGGGGCAGACATAGACGCTCGGATCTCGACCCAACACTCTAGTAGTATTGGCTTGAATGGACCTTGCTTTTCTTACGCAGGATTTTCGGTCGAGACATTAGAGGAATTTTACCGCCAAGGATTCAGAGGTATCAATCAGTTTGATCACAAGGGGTTTGCACCACTCCAGCATACATTTGACTATTACTTTTGGGGTCTGTCAAATGATTGGAAGCTTAGGATGGAACGCATGAAATGGTTCATTTTAAAAGGAGCGGTTCTACACCTAACGGTACCCGGGACCAGTGCATCCATAGCCCATCATATTGGGGTGAGCGCTGTCAGGTTACTTAGCTTCGCAATTCTGCGGCCCGAACCGTCCCCCAACCCCACCAGTTGTTTTCAAGTCTGGAAACAAGGACTTTCCCGAGCTGGAAAAGGATTTTTTCTACTTCCTTCTATCACAGATGGATGTATCTGCCCATGCTCTCCGAATGGATGCACCACAATTTCAATGGCTTTACGACATATACTCCGTTATTCCAACGACTTTGCGCTTGCAGACGGATCTCTGGGCAAAGTTTTTCGGGAATTGATACAATTCTTCATCGATTCGACAGAAGAGACTCCGGTGGTACACGAAGGATTCATCAGATGTTTCACTTTTGATGCTTTGGATCTGAAACACGCGTGTTGCATTGAAACCCGTAGAAATTTTGGGGATCCCATCAAACTCGAAAGCAGGGAAGAAGAGGAGATCGAAGAAATCATTGACGAACAGAAGCTAAGACTGATCGACTTTGAAAAACTTGTCATCGAATTCCAAGCCAAATTTGATGAGCTTGCCCTACCTATGATGGAGTTCCTCGAAGGTCATTGGTACAATCGCATGATTGATTTCCTCCGTCAGCGCGATCGGTACAATGAGGAACATTTCATTGGGTCGAGAAGGATCGGTGTCAATCTTCTCCAGGAGGAAGAATTCCCCCCCAATGGAATACTTCGGCTCATTGGCTCTTTCCACAAGGTCGTTGATATCGAGGAGTCACCGAGGATTGAATAGAGTGGGATTTTAGAACTCTGCTATATAATTTGTTTATTTCAATGCGTTATCTTACTAGAGAAATGGAAAGAGCGCAATGGCGGTCTGACATCGCAGACGAGAGTACTATTGATGAACAATGGGCGTTTTAGTCGAGATACAGACCCAGGCCTTAGCAACCATCCCATATACATCATTTATGAAGATGGGGGAGACAACCAACAGATTGGATGATAAGACTGTCCTACTAGTACATGTAAGCTCAACAGAACGCTTGAGGCGCTGCGAACTACCATCTACTGCTGCGATCAATTAAACTCCATGTCGCTGCTAAATTTAGCTCATCCGTCGAATGGGGGAGTCGTTCAACCGCCAACATGCACGATGGCAACCTCGGCGGCTAATTACCTGGGGTCGCAAATGGACCCTATATTCTTCAATGGCTAGATAGATTAGGTGTGGCAAGATAAATATCGAGAATGTCTCACTTGGACTGCGATTTTCTGGTTTTAACCCCATCTGGTCGGAAAAGACCACCAACCATCGACCTTCACATGAGCACAGGGCACAGCAAATATCCGGATGGCGACCAAGCTATCTTCGAAGGCGAGTCGGTGGCTTTTCTGACTGTCTTTGGCATGATCATCGCGGCTCTCGAGGCACTCAAGCTAATATCTCAACTGCATAATGGCATCGCCTCTTCCATCGAAAGCCGCCACTATTTCTGGACCTATGGACCTAACGCAATCCTCACAATCATCGCCTTTTTTTGGTCACGCGCTGAGTTTCAAGAGTACACAAGCTATGTGGCCTCGGTCACGCAATCCTACCAACAGTTTCCTATCCTGGCATCTAACAAAGGGATTTCAAAGTGTAGATCCACCTAATATCAGAATATTGGGTGTAATATATATGCAGCAAATCTAGAATAAACCTGGGATAAAATGCCGAGACAAGAAGAGCGATATCCGAAGTATGTTCGCAGATATTTGAAAAGACATGAAGGTACCAAAGGGAACGGGAGGCAGTCTCAATGATTGCAACTTGTTTTACAAGTTGGGGTCTATACCTCAATAAGTACGAAGGTTGAGTAGTGCATCTCTAACATTGGAAGGTCTATTAATCTGATTATGTGGACAAAATCGAAGTTTCACTTGAATTAAATTGTTTGTTAAATAAGCCAGAAGTTCAGTTCCTGTCCTTCCAAATTCATCACCAACAGATCAAATAGGATAGGCCCGCGTTCCTTTCATACATTCATGGGTCATGTCGCAGGGGCAGGGAGTGGGATATCTCAAGTCGCAAGGGCCGGGTAGTCGCTGTCTCATCAATGGTATCTCCTGGGTTGTTTTACTGAATGTGCATTGGCGCGTATGGATAAAGTCGGAGTTTGTGGAATTAAGCAGGGAAGGTTGGAACACAACAGCCCAAAAGGGTGAGCAAGTATGTGTCAGGCGCAGTGGGGCTGTGGTCAAATTACTCTTGGTCGCGGGGGTCGCTTTAGCGGTTATGGGTGCCCATGTCGGTGGTATCGTAGCCATTGGCCTCAAGGTAGTCGCGGAACCTGGCATCCTCGAGAGTAATGGTGTCCTGAGAAAAGGTGAGCATATTCCCAAAGTACTCCATCTGCAACAATTCCTACCTGGTCAATGTTTGGCATCATGAAGATGGCCAGGAATGCGGCCAAGATACACAATGAGCTGGAGACGAAGAACGGGTCCTGGCCTGCGCGGGTCGGGTTCGGCGCGTTCTTTTGGACAATTGGAATCACGTAGGTGCCCACGAAGGCCCCGATCTTCCCGATAGCGGCAGCATATGAGTAGTACTGGCCACGGATAGCGGTCGCGCTGGTCTTGGCGGCGCAGAGACCGATGTTGTCGCCGGGTCCCATTTCACCGAGTGCAGAGAAGATTCTGTTCTCAAAATATTAGCATTGGCAATCGCTGAAGTCTAAGTACTTTTTGACTTACCCGAATACGACAACAAAGGCTGCCACGTTTTCTGGGGTAGCAAGCCACTTGTAGCATCCGGCCATGATGAATCCAATGATACCTTGGAGTCCAACACCAATGGCAAGGGTGTAGCGAGGGCCAATCCAGTCACTCATGAAGGCTCCAAGGGCAGAACCTGGAATGTAGAAAGAATTGATCACGGTAGTCCAACCGAAGCTCTTCCACAAGGGAGCCGTGTCGCCTAGGATGATCTTTAGCCAGGCCGAAGAGTAAATACCGAAGCTGTAGGCAGAGAAGTCGTAAAGGAACCAGATGGTAGAAACAACAGCCTATAAATCACACAAATCAGTCAGTTTATTCGTGCCTGTAAGGACAATACGTAGGTAGGGTTTGTTACCAAGCGCTTCCAATAGAATCTAAATTCGTTAGCCAACAAGTCCATGCACTAAGCAATGTGGAACTTACTTGATAATGAGCCAGATCGGGAACTTGTGCATGCGCTCCCGGTTGAACTCCTCAGGCTCATCCATCTTCAGTCGGAGGTACATCAGACTCAGAGGGGGAATAACTCCCAGCCCCAGAGCCACACGCCAGCAAGCGTGCAGGTGGTTCTCGGTGAAGATTAGGACGAGGATCATAGCCACCAGAGCAGCAACCACGAAACCGAAATCAATCTGGAAGTTGGTGAACATGATAAACCAGCGATTGCGGTGTCCTTTCTTGAGCTCTCCGGTATTCTCTGCGGCGCCGACTGACCCAGCAGGGTATTCTCCACCAATACCAATTCCCAAGAAGAAACGATAAGCCGTCAAAGCAGCAAGCATGCCGCCCAGGCTGCCGCCAGCTCCATAAGAGCCAGCACCAAGAGCTGCAAAGACAAACAGGATTACGGTGGAGATCATCAAGGACCACTTGCGTGACCAGTGATCACTAGTGTATCCAAATATCAACATACCCACCACCGTGCCGGCAAAAACAATCGAAGAGACATTTTGTTGGGCCGTCGAGTTGGTGTATGCATCTCCGTAGATCTGTGTCAGCATGGTACCGACAGGACCAATGATCTAGAATCACGTGTGTCAGTAAAGATTAAATAAACGTTCACCGAGCTGCACATTTATGTGGAAAATTGTAGCTGCGGGGCTGCGCGCACAAGGATGAAACTCAACACACCTGGTTCAAGTAGCCATCAGAGAAGAGACCAGCACCACAGGCAATAGTGGGCCAACTACGTTCCCAGCGACCCTTCTTTATGTCGTCAAGAGGCTGCTCCTCGAGGGGACTGGCGCTCTTCTCAGACATTTCCTTGGAGTAGGACAGAGGCGCGGCCATTGCGATCGTGTTTATGAACAGCAAGAAAAACTTTGGCTATGTTTAATCACCCGGTGAGGTTGAGCCTCTCTGGAGATCAAAAAGGTAGCAGAGTTGGCACGAGACCAATGAGAGGTACTGTGTCACCGGATCACAATGACAAAAGTCGCGTCGATCGACTAGAGGGGTCTCTGTCAACAGAGAAGAGAAAAAGAGATGTGAAGCGGAGAAAAAAGATAAATGAAACTCATGGGGCGAAAAAAACAGATTAAATACAAATCTATTAAATAAAAATCTAGCGGGAATAGCATCACTCCAAGCCGGGGGAGAGGTACCAGTTACTACCTATCACCGAGTAACAGCCGTATTGGGTCAAGTATCGGACCTTAAGTGGGACCCCGGCGCCCTCGAGCTTGATTATTCTAAGCATTTAGCTTTGAGGATATCAGCCTAATACTTTTGTGGACCAATGATATACTCCATAAATATCAATGTCTATCTTTTAGCCAATGGTGTATCTGTGTAGATAGGCCGGTCGGGGTAGGTTACACTCTGCATACAACACAGACTCGGCCACTCCGAGTTTTATGTTGTATGTTATATGTTGTAGATGGGTTGATGTCAGTATCAAAGTGAACACGCGGCTTCCCGATCAAATGATATGGAAATCATATCGAAATGTCAAGGATGTGGATGATAGAGGGAACGCATATCCCTATGGGTTTTGCACGTGCGCAGCTAATTCCCCGTTGAGATTAGGGGCTGGAAGCACCTACCTGTTTCTGGAGTAGTCCATGAAAAACTTTTTGAAGGATCAAGTAGCCGAACTTGGACTCCAATTCCCTACGTTGTAGTGAAAACGTGCAAATTTTGACACATAGTTTTTCTAACCTTTGAGGTCTATGCTAAGCAATAGACCTTTAAAGGATAAACGGAACGGTTCAGCCCTATGTCTTACGACGGGAATACCACTCGGGCCGTGAATCCTCGGGGTTAAGTCTCCCTGTAACACACCACATATCATTGGAATTGATTTACAAAGTATCCTATCGCGCAAGCCAATATATGGAATTGCTAGAATGTCTTCAATCTGCACCAAGGTTGGTCTAATATGATTACTAAGACCCAAAGTAGATAACTAAGCCAGATATATTGCAAACACGTATCTTTCTCATGGGCGAGATGAAGAAGATAGAATTCGTTTACAAAAAGAAACAAATCTATTTGAATTCCGTAAATGCGACCGGGATCTTGTGCAAGATAGAACATCTTGACGTTCGAAGGGAGAAGGCTAAAGAAGGCTCGGCACGGAGAAACATTCTGCCAGCTGAGCTCGGGCTACGGTGATGCACCTGGCTTGATCTCATCCCCAGACATCACCAGCTCCCATCTTCTCCCTGCTCTATTGCATCGTTTTTTTAACTCGTGCCAGTTCTGTCAGCATCTCCAGTTCCCCATAGTCACCATGGGGTCTGATCCGCAGTACATCAAGTTCCCCAACCTCTCCATCGCCCAACATGTCTTCAATCTCTCCAACCCAGCATGCGCGCCAGCCGTCCAACAGAGCTCATTGAAGACACTCCAAGATGTTATCCTGGAGCACAAGATGGCTCCCTTCTACCGGCATTTAGCCCATCCCACCGAAGGCATCTTGAACAACTCCGGCGAAGGCGTAACACAGCATCCACAAAATGGAGGGAACTCAACAAAGCCTCTCATCACTTCCAATCTTCTTGCATCTCGCAAAACACCGCTAAAGTTTGATTTCCCTTGGGATGAGAAGCTGTACCAGTCTCTACTAGAGGATAATAAGAAAGAACTGGAGACCTTCCAGAAAGAGGAAGATGAGGCGGAAGAGGCTGCTGGGGAGACTGAGGTACAAGCTGCGCGCGGGAAGCGAGCTGAGTTCTGGGCTCGTGTGGGAGATAAGGTGAGAATTCTTCGCCTATGATTTGTCAAGCTCCTGAGTTTGCTAGCTGACACCAGAATTTCCAATAGGACAAAGCCGTCGAATCCCACGAAGCCCTCCTCGAGAAGACCGGATTCCTGGGAACCAAGATTGATCTGGTGATGGCTATGCTCCGCATCGGACTCTTCTTCGGTGACCTTTTGTTTGTGAACAAGACCATCGAACGAGCAGAGACCTTGGTGGAGAGCGGTGGAGACTGGGACCGGAGAAACCGTCTCAAGGCATACAAGGGATTGCATTTGCTCACAATTCGCTCTTACAGCCTTGCCGCTCCTCTCCTTCTCGACAGTCTGTCTACCTTTACGAGCTACGAACTTTGCAGCTATTCTTCGCTAGTGATTTACTCGGTGCTTGCGGGATCCTTGTCCCTCAAGCGTGTGGACTTCAAAGCGAAGGTAGTGGATGCACCAGAGATTAAGGCCATCCTTGGCTCTGGAGAAGACCAACTGGCTGCGCTGAGTGGGGAAATCTCCTCAGGCCCCGGTGCCCGGGATGAAGAGATGAAGGATGCAACGGCGTCACTGCCCACACCCGCCGGTGCCAAGACCGCTGTCAACATCTCCTCTTTCTCAACCGGCTCCGGTGTGGCAGTAGAGGCCGAGGTGCCCGTTGATTTCGCACCGCTCGCAAACCTAGTTACCAGTCTCTACAACGGTAACTACCGCTCATTCTTTGTGGCACTCGCAGCCGTAGAGGACCAGTTCCTGACACAAGACCGGTATCTGCATGAGCACCGGGCTTGGTTTGTTCGTGAGATGCGATTGCGTGCCTACCAGCAGCTTCTTCAGAGCTACCGTGTGGTCGGGCTGAGTGGTATGGCCAACGACTTCGGTGTGACAGTAGACTACTTGGACCGGTATGTGCTGTCTGAATCTCTTGAAATATCAACACATTTGCTGACCATAACCACAGGGACCTTGCAAAGTTCATCTCGAACAACCGCATTGCGTGCACAATCGACCGTGTCAATGGTATCATCGAGACGAATCGACCAGATGACAAGAACAAGCAGTATGCCGATGTGGTGAAGCATGGTGATTCTCTGATCACCAAGATTCAGAAGTACGGCCAAGCTGTGCGTCTTCGGGGGAGTGAGCGAAGCTAAAGTGGTACCTCTACGAACTTGGAGGCATTCTGAGCCTCAAAACCACAACCTATGATCAACTATGTATGCCTGAATGGACAATCTTACTTACTGTGTTCTCATCCCCGGAATCCCCGGAGTTTACCCCGTATATCGTATGACATGCCACCCATGCATGATCAATCACTTGACTAAAAGTAGATCCTTCCAAAGGTCCCCGCACCGGGCGGCTCCGGAAAATGTGTCAACATCGGGCAACCGGCCGAGTTTTCCTCGGAAAAAGATCCTCACTGATCGTGTTGACATGCATGAAATGTGGATGATCCTCAATCCAAGATATGTATACGCAGTAGCCATATCTACGGTCTTCATGACCGATATCTCAATATCCTTATCGGTAGTCGGCTGCCGTTCCGATCCTTGGAACCTTGTGGGGAAATGCTGACTCACAAGTTCACCGCCCAATGACCAAGGCCAATTTTTTTTCCCCCTTCTTCTCCCGAGCGCAATCGGACAATCACGACAGGGGTTCGCGCCAAAAGGACTTTTTAAATTGATCAATCTGATCCCTGATTGACCATTCGCCAGAATGTCCTGGCAATATAAGCTCGCATCCAGCGTGCGGGCCTCTCCGCTTCGGGCGCTGACTAGCCGTTCAAATGGCCTCCTACATCGCCCGGCCGCACGTGGCGCTGCGGGGTGTCTCTCCGCTAAGTCAGGTACGTGGGATACCAAATCACCCCGGCTTACATAGTTTGGGGGCGCAATCTCTCGGTATTGGGCATTTCTCCTCATCATTCTATGGTGTGATTGCTTGTCTTAATCATATCTCGCCTTCTTTGGTTGCAATAACGTATCCGCGGCCTTTATATACTTGCTTCTTTCCCCCAGTTTCGAGATTACTAGTCTCCCTCCTCTGAACCTCACTAATATCCTTCGGGTTAATCCAGAGCCCATCATGACTCAAACCACTGTCTCATATACCGCCAAGCGCACCCTGTCGGCCGTTCAGACCCGCAAATGTCTAAACGTCGACAACATCAACCAGCATGTTCGGGATGCCAAGTACGCCGTGCGCGGTGAATTGGCCGTCAAGGCCGAGACCTACCGTCAGCGCCTGATTGATGGCGACAAGTCCCTGCCCTTTGACAGCGTCATCTTCGCCAACATCGGTAACCCCCAACAGCTCGATCAGAAGCCTATCACCTTCTTCCGTCAGGTCCTCAGTCTAGTCGAGAACCCCTTGTTATTGGAAAACACCGAGGTCCTCAAAAAGTCATTTGGATATAAGCAGGATGTGATCGACCGTGCCCAGGCCCTTTTGGCCAATGTGCAGAGCGTTGGTGCCTACAGTCACAGCCAGGGTGCCCCGGGTATCCGGGACAGCGTCGCCAAGTTCATTGAGAAACGTGATGGCTTCTCTGCCAACCCCCAGGACCTGTTCCTGACCGGTGGTGCCTCGTCGGGTGTGAGCACCATCTTGAACGTCATCTGCAGCGATCCCAGTACCGGTGTCCTCGTCCCCATTCCTCAGTACCCTCTTTACACTGCAAGCTTGACGCTGCTGAATGCCCGCTGCGTTCCTTACCTCCTCGAGGAGGAGAAGGCATGGGGTACTAACGTCAATGCGATCCTCAAGTCCATTGAGGACGCCAAGGCCGCCGGTACCGATGTGCGCGCCATTGTCGTGATCAACCCAGGCAACCCAACCGGTGCCTCTCTCAGCGCTGACGACATCAAGAAGGTCCTTGATGTCGCCGCCGAGGAGAGCTTGGTGGTCATCGCTGATGAGGTGTACCAAACCAACGTTTTCAAGGGCGAGTTTGTCTCCTTCAAGAAGCGCCTGCGCCAGCTCCAACAGGAGCAGCCCGGCAAGTACGATGACGTCGAGCTGGTCTCGTTGCACAGTATCTCCAAGGGTATGGTGGGTGAGTGCGGCCACCGTGGTGGCTACTTCGAGCTTGCTGGCTTCGATCCCCAGGTCCAGGAACAGATCTACAAGCTCGTCAGCATTGGCCTGTGCCCGCCGGTCGTCGCACAGTGTCTGCTCGAGTGCATGGTCAACCCTCCCCTCGAGGGCGACCCAAGCTTCGAGCTCTACCAGAAGGAGTACACTGGTATCTCTGAGGGTCTGCACAAGCGTGCCCTTTCCTTGTTCAACGCCTTCCAGCGCATGGAGGGTGTTGAGCTCCAGGAGCCCCAGGTACGTATCATAGACTCGTTTAAATTGTTACGCATTTACTAATCTTTTCAACAGGGTGCCATGTACCTCTTCCCCACTATCCACATCCCCGCAAAGGCCATCGAAGCTGCCACCGCTGAGGGCCGCCCCGCCGATGAGTTCTACTGCTTGGCCCTGCTGGACGCCACAGGTGTCTGCGTTGTCCCCGGCTCTGGCTTCGGCCAGAAGGAGAACACTTTCCACTTCCGCACAACCTTCCTTGCCCCTGGCACCGACTGGGTTGAGCGCATCGTCAAGTTCCACTCCGAGTTCATGGACAAGTACCGGTGAACATGTACAAAGGTACAAAAAGCCATGTAAATTTGAACTGCCCATCCATTGTCACCTGCTCTTCTAGCGATTGGCTGCCACTATATACTACTTTGGGTTGCAGTTTTTTTTCCATGTCTATACAAAATGGGCCATTAGCATCCATCTATGTGTGGGTTTTACAACGCAATTTTTTGAATATTTGAATTTGGATATGGATCTGGAATTGCTTCGCCCTTGATACCTCATAGACTACTGACTCTATTGGGCTTGCTGTTTTCGATTCTCATTTTTGGGTACTCTTTGCAGGCACTTATATCTCGCATTTTGAACAGTGGTATACATTTCGGGCACATTTGCATCTTTCGTTCTACTTGATACAGGTACTGCGTACCTTGATTTGCTTTTTATAGAAAATGAAATTTCTTTCATTGATTCCGAATAATTTCTCGTATCTTCGTCTTCTGTTCCTGTCCCTGCTTTCATCTTGGTAAACCAATGAGAGGACACTGAATGGCTAGTAAATATTGGGGGAAAAGAGAGATGACATGAAGTGTCCAAGTTCATCCGATATTGATAGTGAAAATATCAGGTTGAACGAATATCATAATTCACTCCTCAAGTGAGAATGAGCAAAGCAACGCATGGTGATCACTCCAGAGCATAATTGTGGGCTCAGTCTGCTGGGACTCGGGTATATTCATATCAGTTGGAGTATCTTGTTGTCCCCTCAACCCCTCCACTCGCTGAGCCTCGAGTATTTCGATCCCACGCGCTTTGAGACCAAGCAGCGCGACTTTATCCATCCTATTCGGCGGAAACCGCTGCTTCCCATCTGCTCCCCATGTATACCCTGGTTCTTCGGGACGAAGGGCCATCCAGGCATCCGTGAGACCATTAGTCTCCACGAGGACGGCATCTTCATCCATAACCGGATTGAAATCACCAGCAACCAACCCACGACCCGCACTCCGCAGAAAAGAGGAGACAATGGATAGTTGCTGGGGTCGATAGGAGGGTTTGAGGGGAAGGGAATCCAGATGGACGTTTGCTAGCCGCACTCGTGTCGCAGAAGCAGCATCCGTAGACGAAGGAACGAAGAGGTCACAAAATAGTACATCTCTCTGAAAATGACTGGGGAAGGCTACCCTCCAGACAGGACCCAGAGTAAACCTGCTCGTTCCAGAGGAATGCCGCGATCCAAAGCGTGTTTTGGACACCAGGGTCATTGTCGTGAATGGGTGTCTATATGGCGAGTTCTCGTGCTCGCTTGAGAACCATGATGTACGGATACGCTCGTGGCTCAAAATTAGTCGCAAAGCTCGCTGTGACACTTCTTGGAGAAATATGATATCAACGTTGGAGTCCAGTTGAGTGATGAAGGTGAGAATTTCAGTGACGCGTTCTTGTGTTCGCTTAGATAATGCATCGATATTCCATGTCAGAAGGACTAGATCGGATGATGAATCGTCGGTGCGTGCTGGCTCTGCATTTTCATTCGCGCTCACTGGATCCCACTGCTGGGAGGTAGGGTCGAACTGGTACCAGGACTGGAATTTTGGGTCTGCTGGTACGTCGGTTGGAAGAGGTGTGTCGTTTTTCCAGGCCATTATGCTTGTTTTCACATGTGCGTAAATATTCATGGTGAGGATAAGGTTGATCACTTTCAAGGTTGCTTAGTGAGGTTTACCTTCGAGTTAGTCTTGAGATTAGTTAAGCATTAAGCCTCAGGCTGACCGAAAAGGGACGGGCCCTCGTTATACCTATATGGTCATAAGATATGGATTAAAGATCGTATTCCTCCCAATGCTTATTATAGTTTAAGTCTGGCATTTTATAGTAGCAATACCTAAATCTTGAGCGAGGAGCCCTACACTCGTAATCCTCATATGAGCATTTTGGGCATGTTGGTACACTATCAGAGTGGGATGATATCTCTCTGTTATATATAATGAACAGAAGGACATAAGTCTTGTCCTTTCTTAATGGTAAAAACAGGGCTATTCTTTGACATTATAACAACGGAGGACTCCGATACTAGGCAAGATATATATATATGGAGACGATAGGTCCACCACAACACTAAGAGGAGAGAAAGACAAGGAGCCAAAAGACTAATAGCTCCAGAAATATGATGACGAAGCCTAATGTGCAGCTTACAGCAATGCAAATCTATGCATTTAATTAATTAGATAGTATGCAGGGCCGGTAAGTCTTTTGCTTGGTAGATGCTTAATTCAAACGGTGAGCTGAGACCGAACTCGAATCCTTGTACTCTGTATGTTGTATGGTCTAGGTAACTATCTAACGATGTGATTCCAACAAGAGAATTGTCATCAGTAGAATTGACATATTACACATATTACACCTCAATCTGACACGTACTGTGACACAAGAGATATAAAGAAGCGGTGAACATTTGATAAACAGAAACAAAAAATACAACGACGGACATGGACATAAACATACACCGGCTGACTGATTGAAAGCTATGACCCAAGAGGCAATCTCGCTGATTCCCACCAGATCGATAATGGCCTCACATACTCCGTACGGTTTACGGCATCCACCCCCAACACGAGACCCATACATATGCAAGGCGCATAAATAAATCCACTCACCCACATACATCCTACGCCGTGTATTCGGTAACCGGCCATCGGTATCGCTTGGACCATGACCCACACCTCCAGATCGCACACACGCAAGACCTACCGTAAGGTGCAGCAAGGTGCAGCATACAGTAGTCACACCGCAAACCACATTCTCGGACGAATACCGCACCTACCTCGTGCCCCAGTCCCTGCCTTGCGTTGTCTTGGCTAATGCTTAGCTATGGGTTAGCGCTGCGGCAGGGTCATTCCCTGTTGATCGGTATGTACAATGTACATTATGCATGCATATGCCTGGTTGCGTTGGGATACACAGCTAGACGGGTAGGGTACATACATACCATACATACCATAAGTTAGGTACATACGAAATAGCTGGTATGGAGCCGCATGGACCTGTTTGGTTCTATTTTGGGGTGGAGTGGTGTGATACATCGGTATACTACATATGTAATATTCTTTTTGTTTGGTATTGTAAAAGGAGGACTTGAATACTATGTACTCCGTATGTATGTATGGATTCCTGTACCTTTCAGACTCACAAACTGTACCTCGTGTATTTTTATTTTATACACTTTGTGCCTCCCTTGTCCGTATCGGTTCAGAACATGCGCATGTATGCGAAGTGAGATTATGTAAGGATCATATGGTTTCTGTTAGATAGTAGTTGCTAGCTATACGCATAATCTATCATTGTAAGACCCCTAGATAATATCTAGAGGTATACTAGGTTCAGGGTAGGGCCTGTCAGCCGGGTAAGACACCTGGGCACCATGACTGAGAGGAGAACATAATGTATTGTCTGAAAGTGCCAAGACTAATTGTTCTTAGAATTAAGAGGGATCCCAGGACATTCTAGACTATAGGTAAGAGATATACTAATACTAATATATCTATTGCTAACAAACCACTCTCGTATTGGCTATGATGCGTCACCGATCAATTTCTTGAGTAAGAGCTTGATAGTATATTATCTTTGACTATAATCAATTGTTTTACATAGAAAAGTCCATTTCACAAATTAAGCCTTTCTCCGCCTTCTTTTGCTGTCTATGTATGAAACTGAAGAAGGCAGGCAAAATATTTATTAAAAAAGACATATAAAAGAATCCCAGAAAGACTCGAGGCCGCAAACACGGCCGACTATTCTTGTCTCATTATATAAATTACTCTAGTATAATCTGTTTATGTATATTTATGGTACAACATACTAGGGAGCACGGCTTCTGCCATGTCCTTGCTCCCAAGTAATACTAATATCCACCGTCTTTGCAATTCCATCCCCCGCTACCTCCCCCCCATCATCGCTGTCATTGGCATTGACAGAAGCCTTTGTAGTCGCCATCTCAATGTCCTCGCCACGTGCCCCCGAGAAGAAATTCTGCCTACTCCCAGAGGCCTCGCGATTCGTCTGTACGCGATTCGTCATTCGTTGATTCGTTGTTGTCCTTTTCCTGTACGATGTGGTGATGGGGAAACTGCTTGATTTGTCGCTTGCAAACAACTGGCGCACGGAAGAAACAACCAGCGAACGAAGGCAGGGAACCGATGCGGTGATAATGACAATATAGCATTCGATCATAGACCAGCAGGTAAGCTCGATTGCATTGGCTGTACCGTCCCAGGTTAAGATCTGGTTGAGATTTACAGCCTTCATTATGGCACCGACTGTCGCGCTATACAGGGGGTAAAGAAGTCCTTGTTAGTAAGTTGGGCTTGATAAGGGTGTTAATGTAAACCATATGAAGGAAGGTACTTACACAATACCCAGACTCGTGAGTATCATGAGACTGAACTTGATCATCGGCTTTAACTTGAGATCCCAGAAAATATAGCACGGAAGGACTGCTAGCAACAAGTCTGCGGAGGAGTTGCAGACTATGGATAATTTGCTATTGTTAGTCAAGAATTCAGGGAAGTGTGTTTTGCATAGCTGCGATTGAGGCTTTGACATTGAATAAACATACAGCAGAGGAAGTAACCAAAATGGAGCTGAACATAGTCTTCCGTGCAGTCCGTGGCGTATTTGGGATCCCAAACCCCACGGATATCGTGGCATTGAGATAGGATAAGAATAATCATTACAATATTTGCCACTATTTGCACCGCAAACAGTACCCATAGGCTGATCTTGAAGACTCTTCTCGTCGAAAGAACCGGCAACAGGTAGAGAATGAATGCGACCCGGCCTAGGCAGGTGCTTGTGACGCTGGAAACCTCCATTATGGTATAGTACTTGAGAGCGGTGACCTCGTCGACTCCAGGACGACCGGATGCAAAGCCGTAGTCAAGAACCGCGATTGTGAAGAGTATCGATGAGGTGAGAGCGAAACCCTGTAATAAACATATCGAGGGTTAGAACAGATGGGACTTATATCATCATTTCCCCCCAGTTAGTGGCATCAACTTACCAGAGATGCAATCATTATAACATCGTCGGATCCGATATGGCGAAGCCTGGCTTTTGCAAATACCCGGAGTATCACAACAATGATTGCGACGGCCCCAAGAGCCCATGTGCCCTCTAAGACCGACTTCCGATCACCAATGAGAGTAGGCATCATGCGGGGGTGATATATCAATAATGATTACATCCCCCTGAAAGCGATAAGATCTGATAGCGGCGGCGTTGACACGTTAGGTAGCAAAGAGAGGAAAATCAATCAAATGTCAAAGATCTGGGGTACGAACTCATTATCAAGTTTTCTGAGTGTTGATCCAAACATCAACCAACTAGGCCCCTAACGATCTAGAACAGACATACTGGTTTGTCCTAACCGTTTTTCAAAGGAGCATCTCATTTTATTCCATGGTTCACGAATGGAATCACAGCTTGGAGCGGAGCACATACTTTTCCCTTCGGGTCCGCTTCTTATACGAGACACGGAGCTGGAACATCTGACTCGGTTTGAGCTTTAAAGGGGCCGTTAGCGTCTCGGCGAGCGGACATTAGCATGGCAGGGTCTCCGTGACAGGGATCCAGAATATGCCGAATATATGGAGTACCGGTATCTCTCAATTGAACGGGAATCCTTCGGCGGGTTCAATTCGAAGTACGGTGTACTCCGTAGTCAGTGCGTAGTCTTCTGGTTTTTCTTTAGCTCTTGGGCAGTTCTAATGTTCTGGAGCTTCTGAGTTCCTCTGCCCCTGTAAAATATGATTGGGTCAAACAAGTTTAACTATTTCTCCATGTGGATTGAGTTTTCCACAATTCCCGATAGAACACTCCCAAGTTCCATTAGCAAGATATTTATGTCTATGTTAGCACATCAAGGTTATAGATCTTCGCAATAGTGTCCCGCCTCGTATTCACTATTCCGTTTCTGGTCGATTCAAGGCGGGGCGGAACTTTATTTTCGGATATGCTCATATCATTGGCATCTCTTCCGCTTATCAATGCCTCATCCAAAATAAATGTGGCGAAGATCTGTTTCCTGTCAAGAAACTTAATTCGCATTCAGTAACATATGTCAGCGAGGAATGGCCGAAGAATCGCCTTTGATTGGGTCGAGGGCGTTAAGGATTTTATGGTAGTTTATCCCGAGAGTTCATCAACTCGAGATTCCTTTATGTTGTACATAGTTAACAGTTTTATACACAGTTCACAATAACTTAAAATTCTTCATATCAGCCTGGTATGTACCTTCGATTCTCTATATGTTTCTAATCTTATTCTTCGGGGTTTATCTTCGCGTTTAGTACCCAACTAGGACTTGCTAAACGCGACACTTATATAGGATAGTGCAACCTTTTTATTCCTGTACCAGTTTGTGATTTTCTCGATTCTCGACTGATGGAGATTACCCACATTAGACCATTTCTTTTCGGCGAATATTTCCTCATGCCTCCTGTATATCGCACCTTGGCACTCTTCTCTCTTTTAGGGTATGGCCATTTTGTCCGATCCACTTACTCCTCGCCAAATATTTGATCTTATGACACACACTGCTTTGTCCCATTCGACATAGACCGAACCTAGTGCTCTTTTAGGGAGATGTAATTAACAATTTCTTTGCCCTGTAGACAAGATTGTCAAGGCGCAGAATATCCTATTGTAAAGGAAAAGTGTTATGGATGACGCACAAAAGCGCGCGTCCCTTGTCACATGTCAACGAATTAGACATTACACGTGACCCTTTTAGCGCATCGGATTTTGGCCTCGGCCCAGTAATGCGGCTCAACTACTCCGTACTCCGTACACAGGTTGCGGTATGTTCCGTAACAGCTTCTGCCACGCATAATTAAGCAACTCATGACACCCATGATTTTTAAATTATTCAACAGGAAGCGCGAAGAGAATGATCTATACTCTAGGCCCAAATGCGCCTCACCAAATGCAATCGGAATCTCTGATTCCACCTGTGAAGTCAACGGCGACCCCTTCAATGGATGGAAACTACCGATCCCACAACCAGACCAACGTATTCTCAAACTCGGAGCCCGACAACGCAACAATCAACAAGCAAGTCACTTCTTCCAACTCCCAATAGAAGTCAGGAAACTGATCTATACCGAGCTAATGGGTAATCGGCGCGTACATATCGAGCATGCGTGGATTTTTCCGTCGCCATTTCGTCGGAAATCGAAGCGAGACGGGAAGCGCTGGGAATGGTGGCATGGTGTTTGCCAGAGGGGCGGATCTTTTGTTGATGACCGGTGTTGGCACCGTGAAGATGAGAGGTATGCGAATAAGTTCGAAGGGCTGAAGAGTGCGCCGGCCGGGACGAAACTTAGGGGCGTAGAATGGTTGAGGTGTTGTCAGATCGGGTGAGTGTTGGGTCTTTTTGACGGATGTAGTGCGTTCATGGCTTATATTATTTTCCAGCTATGAAGAGGCATTAACAATCCTATATGGGACGAATGTCTTCATTCTGCGAAGCGGGTTAGACGCTCCGTTTATTATGTCTAGGCTTTTATCGCCGGCTTGTTCCTCTCTCATCACGTCTATGGAGATCTCTTTTGATTGCTGGTACAAAATAGATGAAAGACCACAGGCTGCAGCTTGGGAAACGGTCTACCCGGCCTTATTTGATCTGTTCGAGCATTGCTTCTGCAAAGTTCACAACTTCCGCTTGACGATGCATATGCCGGCCTGGGAGAAGGTGAGAGGAGCTATGAATGATGACAAGATAGCCGAGATCCTTGCGCCGTGGGAGAGACTTGCACAGAGTCGAGACTGGACTAGTTTAATGCTTTGCGTTCCGTCTGATTGGATCCCTTGCTTAACAGGCAGGGTGGAGAAGCAGAGCAGGTGGGAGTTGACGATGACTGACTGGTACGAGCGCACGCCTATCGAGGGTTTAAAAAAGGTACACGCAGACTAAGAGGGTTTCTTCTTTGGGCTCGGCGTATAAGTCATCATATTCTGAGGAAGGCGGGCTTCCTAGGTCATCGATCCAATTTCCGATCCACTTGAGTTTGATAAATCTCTGAGTCGATCTTTATGTCACTAGGGATTTTTCACTAGCAGAATTCCCGGACGCATGGGGGTTGGATAGACTAATAGGGTAACTTGAAACAAAGGCTGTACCTTTGGCTTGAAGGCGAACGTAGACTTGTTTCTAATTGCGTCTGCTCTTAGGGGTAAGGCGAGGGTCCAACTCGTGCGTACGGGTGAAGAGGCGTTTCTAGCCTCGAAAGAGGTCATTTTTAGCGTCAGTTCCATAGGTTCTCAGATTAGAAACGTAAAATTTCTATTTATAAATACAAGAATAATCGGGCGCCTCTGCGGCCTTGTGATGTCTTCTTAGATGTATATGAAGGCGGTAGGAGAAAAACACTACCTTGTGCAACTATGTATATATAACCTATGATTGTTCAGCTTCAGAACGCAAGAGGGCAACCTCTCCGAAGAATCCACGAGTCGATCTGCGATGAGGCAGCTGAGTGGCACAGGGGTGTAGATGTGCATACTAGCTCGGACTTCCTCACCGCTATATCCCACTTCATGACCGGGATCTTCTTTGCATCCGATCTACCCGGGGATTGTTACTAGTGTTCTAGGTGGAATACACGGAGTAGTTTATTTGGTATTAAACTACTTTACCTAGTTGATAGGTAATTGGTTGATGAGCGATATCATGGGGTTGGGGTATGCCAGCTAGGGGTCTGTGCTGCCCTGTATAATAAAATATAGGGTGCATGATGAAGGACATCCAAAGGCAAATCTCGGGTTCTGTAGCGATCCGCACCGTGTATGCATTGGGGTATCGTTGTCTGGAAGCGAGTGTATGGAGAAGTACATACCGCCAGAATCATTGTACATGTAAAAAAACAGAACAAATGAAAAAAGTAGTTCTATACACCGGCGAGGATGCAAGTAAAGCCAAAAGAATAGCGCATGTACGGAAGCAAAAAGCAAAAGAATGTCCAGGCACGTGTAAGTGGCCAAATCGCAAACCCCTCTAGATTGAATGGCTATCAAGGAAGGAATCTAGACTGGCTAATGGAACAAGACAAATTAGGCATTTATCATCATCTCTCATCATGGTCATGAAGACGGTGTGGAGGTGGTGGTAGATTGCCGCAAGAGAGCAAGCCCCAGGACAAAAGAAGTATTGGAGGAAGAGAATAAAAGCAAGGATAGAAGGATCGAGCACCACTGTTTCTTACTGGGCCCAGGACTGTTGGAAGAAGGTGTCGTCCATGGGCGGGGTGGAATCAGCATCGAACAGACCGCCAGGCCAGATAGGAACGGAGTCCGTCGGCGGCGAGGGAGCGCTGGGAATTGGGACAGACGTCATGGGCTTGTACACTGGTATATGCGACATGGTGTAGATATCCTGCGTAGGGACCGGTTTAGGCTCTATGCTCATGCTGGCTTGCAGCTGGTGCTCAAGCGCAGCGGTGGACTCATTGGTCGATTTAAGGAAATCATCGATGTTGATCGAGTCCAGGTCATTGGAGGACAAAAGACGCGCCTGAGGGAGACCGACCAATGAGGATGCAGAGCTGACGCGGAGATGGTCCATGTCAGATGCTTCGCTCACGCTGTGCAGATCGTGCATGTCATTGTTAGCATGACCCAAACCTGGAAGCGGTCCAAACTCATCAGCCTCGGAAATGTCTCCGGATGACGAAGGCGCTGGAAGACCCGAGGGATATCCGGTGAAATCAAAGCTCGCATATGAGGGCGCTTGCGTGCTAGTTGCGGTGGGGACGTCGGAGTATAGAGGGAAACTTGACCAGTCGACCGAGGGAGCACCGATGCCAGCAGACCCCAGGGGCATGTCGGAGTCCGGTGAGGTGAAATAACATTCTTGGTAATGTTCTTGGAATGCCATGCAGGTGATGGGAGAATTAGTGCTCGTGGTCGGGAAGGAGGCGAAAGAGGAGACGTCAAGTGGAGGAACATTGGTGACAATCTGTTCTAGAGGGAACTTGTCCATGGTTGCAGGAGCAGATATCGGGTTTGACAGCGCATCATGGGATCGGTCTAATGATGGAGCGGGAGGTGCTGGCGTGACGAAATTGTCGAGGTACGAGTGATCGAAAGGAGTAGGTTTCAAATCGTCTTCGGCGCCCGAAACATGCGCGCTGTTGGGAGAACCATTTTGTGACGTCT